GCAAGCTGTTTTAACCTCATTAAAGTCCACTTATGTTGATGAAATTGTATAACGGACATAACGAGGACAACCTCGCAGCTGAAATAACGCTAGCTGCGTCTTGAGCCTCTTCATGCTACTAAAGATTTGCTTCAGTTTCTTCATCCTGCAATGTCATCCTGACGGTGTCGATGTAATGATCTGCGAGTTATCTTTTGCCATGTAAAACTCCAGCAGAGCTAAGGCAGCCCGGTCCATGCAATGCTATCAAACGAGGTGATCATCACACCTTTACTTTTTACCATCCCGCATACTTTGTGATCCCACCTTGTTTGGATGATTCGGTCCACACCGTCTGTTGCTATTGTTCTATAAACAACATTTCGAAAAAAACAAACAGAGTAAAATGAATCTGCTGTTTTATTGAACTAATGGGCTTTAATTTATTTGCCTTTTACGCAAGTTTTGTGGTTTATTTTCGACCTTTTCAGGTTCTACCGTGTGTGTACCCCAGGAAAACGGACAAACGTTAGGATAAAGAATTCCCAACACAACCATCCACAGGAGATTCACTAAGAACAGAGGCCGTGCCGCTTAAACAGACGATCTGGAATATGTAGATATCCGCTCATCATAGCAATCGGACAATTTGCTATAGGAAGCTAGAATAATCCAAGCTCCATCCCTGTACTGATCAGTTTCGCTCGATTACATGTCACCTTCGATCTTAACTTCGGAACGAACAAACTTAGTAAGCACATCACGAGCTTGCTATTTCTGCTTTTCTTGAAGTTGAGTCGCTCGAAAACATTCCAACGAGCAGATGCCACGACTGACGTACCTGTTGCAAATCGTCCCCCGTTCCCTGCCCTTACAGTCCGTCTCTCAGTGTTTGTACCTCGCAACCTCTGCAACCCTTGCAACCACGTCTCAGTCAGTCCGTCTCTCAGTGTTTGTACCTCGCAACCCTCGCAACCCTTGCAACCACGTCTCAGTCAGTCCGTCTCTCAGTCTTTATACCTCGCAACCCTTGCAACCTCGTCTCAGTCAGTCCGTCTCTCAGTCTTTGTAACTCGCAACCCTCGCAACCCTTGTAACCACGTCTCAGTCAGTCCGTCTCTCAGTCTTTGTAACTCGCAACCCTTGCAACCTCGTCTCAGTCAGTCCGTCTCTCAGTCTTTGTAACTCGCAACCCTTGCAACCACGTCTCAGTCAGTCCGTCTCTCAGTCTTTATACCTCGCAACCCTTGCAACCCTTGCAACTACGTCTCAGTCAGTCCGTCTCTCAGTCTTTATACCTCGCAACCTTTGCAACCCTTGCAACCTTGTCTCAGTCAGTCCGTCTCTCAGTCTTTATACCTCTGCACCCCTTGCAACCACGTCTCAGTCAGTCCGTCTCTCAGTCTTTATACCTCGCAACCCTTGCAACCCTTGCAACTACGTCTCAGTCAGTCCGTCTCTCAGTCTTTATACCTCGCAACCTTTGCAACCCTTGCAACCTTGTCTCAGTCAGTCCGTCTCTCAGTCTTTATACCTCTGCAACCCTTGCAACCACGTCTCAGTCAGTCCGTCTCTCAGTGTTTGTACCTCGCAACCCTCGCAACCCTTGCAACCACGTCTCAGTCAGTCCGTCTCTCAGTCTTTATACCTCGCAACCCTTGCAACCTCGTCTCAGTCAGTCCGTCTCTCAGTCTTTGTAACTCGCAACCCTCGCAACCCTTGTAACCACGTCTCAGTCAGTCCGTCTCTCAGTCTTTGTAACTCGCAACCCTTGCAACCTCGTCTCAGTCAGTCCGTCTCTCAGTCTTTGTAACTCGCAACCCTTGCAACCACGTCTCAGTCAGTCCGTCTCTCAGTCTTTATACCTCGCAACCCTTGCAACTACGTCTCAGTCAGTCCGTCTCTCAGTCTTTATACCTCGCAACCTTTGCAACCCTTTCAACTACGTCTCAGTCAGTCCGTCTCTCAGTCTTTATACCTCGCAACCTTTGCAACCCTTGCAACCTTGTCTCAGTCAGTCCGTCTCTCAGTCTTTAAAACTCGCAACCCTTGCAACCCTAGCAACCACGTCTCAGTCAGTCCGTCTCTCAGTCTTTATACCTCGCAACTCTTGCAACCACGTCTCAGTCAGTCCATCTCTCAGTCTTTATACCTCGCAACACTCGCAACCCTTGCAACCACGTCTCAGTCAGTCCGCCTCTCAGTCTTTATACCTCGCAACACTCGCAACCCTTGCAACCACGTCTCAGTCAGTCCGCCTCTCAGTCTTTATACCTCGCAACCCTTGCAACCCTTGCAACCACGTCTCAGTCAGTCCGTCTCTCAGTCTTTATAACTCGCAACCCTTGCAACCCTTGCAACCTCGTCTCAGTCAGTTCGTCTCTCAGTCTTTGTAACTCGCAACCCTTGCAACCCTTGCAACCACGTCTCAGTCAGTCCGTCTCTCAGTCTTTATACCTCGCAACCTTTGCAACCCTTGCAACCTCGTCTCAGTCAGTCCGTCTCTGAGTCTTTATACCTCGCAACCCTTGCAACCACGTCTCAGTCAGTCCGTCTCTCAGTGTTTGTACCTCGCAACCTTTGCAACCCTTGCAACCACGTCTCAGTCAGTCCATCTCTCAGTGTTGGTACCTCGCAACCTCTGCAACCCTTAAAACTACGTCTCAGTGAGTATTCTTCTTTAGAGAAAGGGAATCTGTTTGAAGCATTCCCTAAGAAGGTTTACCTCGTTTATCTGCAAACCTGCAAGTTTGCAGTCTGCGTTTGTCGCACACCGAGGTTCGTTTGACGACATGTTTTTCTTTCTTTTTCCCCCCAGCCACCCGACCCTTATTTTTCTCTGTCTCCCTATTCTTTATTGTGTGTATCTTTTGCAACCTTTGCAACGGAAATAAAGTTACCAGCCAATCAGTGAAAACGTTCCAAGAGCTTCATGCCGACTGATCATACGCGTGCTATCTACGATCCGCTAACAATTTGAAGACTCGCTTTAAAAAGAGGACCAAAGCCATAGACTTCCTACGTATCTATTGTACACTGAAAATATGCCTTACCCCTATTGGTCTTTAATTTTGTTGTTTATCCTTTAAATCATGAAATTGGCTTTCCACTGGAGATGGATGTTTTTCTGTGTCGCTGCGATCGAGATTGCGTTACCTGTAACTATCACCTGAGGGGGTTCGTGTGCAGCGGTTGTCGTGTTTATTTTATTGTTCTGAAATTAGAACTCCAATTCTCGAGACGATGCTTTGGTAGTACAGGGAATTCATTCACTCATTCGTTTTTTTAATTATTAGTATTATTTTCATGAGTGATTTTAGCGATTATCCCTCACAGACTATTTCTCCTTGCTCTCCACCCCTACCCATCAACTACCTTTGCATTGTAACGCGGTGATCTCCGGGGTGGCAACGATAAAAACAAACGCTAGAAAAGAGCAATGTGGCATATTCTCCTTTTTTTGCCCTTTCTATAAAAGCACTTTTCTATCTATGACCTGGCCAGAAAAGGAAAAACAAAATCCGTAGTTTTGTGTGATGTTTAACCGATAACGCCGTTGAGACTTAGCGATCAGGCATTCTGGTCGCAGCGACATGTCAGCCCGCAAGGAAGACAAAAGTCCATCTCCAGTGGAAAACCAATTTTATGACTTTAAGGATAAACAACCAAAATTATAGGGCTAAGGCATATTTTCAGTGTACAATTATACGTAGGTAGTCTATAGCTTACATCCTCTTCTTGAAGCCGCAATATTGATAATGTATGTCTGCAAATTGTTAGACGAAGCGGATCGTCTAGCACGCGTATGATAGTAGTTTTTGTTTGTCTTACGGATTATAGTCTTCAAACGGTGGTAATTCGACTTTGTAGAAATTTTAGAGATTGTTTTGGTGGGGGTCTTAGTTTTCGAAATTACGAAAACTAAGACCCCTAAATTTACCGTTAAATTTGACCTAAAACTCGGTGGAAAGGATCGAACATGATATAATTTGACAGATCAGACCTATTTCGGTTACAATTTGATTCGATTTTAGGCGGTGTTAGTTTTCGTAATCTCGAAAACTAAGACGGGTCTTAGGTCTTAGGTCTTCGTTTTCGAGGGTCTTAGTTTTCGTAACACCCAAATCAACGAACCTGATTGAGCATGTGCAAAGGAACAAGCCCGCTGACCAGGTGTCCCTTCACTCTATTGTTTCCAGGTCCCTTTCTTTTAACAAATTGTCCGTTCCCAAACCTGAAGTCCGCGGACTTAAAATAAGGAAACGATAAAGGAGGTTCAACAATGAAGCCAGTACTCCGTTGAATGTAAAATGGTCACAGTAATTTGTGAGTGCGTTCTTTCTCTTTAAGTAATGCCTTCTTTCTTTAAGTAAAACTCGCCGTTTTTGCGAGGCGATATTTTTTCTTTATTTTCCAATTATTTCAATTTGATCAAATTACAGTTGAAACTCTCTACAACGGCCACCTTAGGGACATTGAAGAATGTGGCCATAGTAGAGAGGTTGAAAGAAGAGTAAATGTATGTCATGTATGGACCGTCCGCCGAAAAAAAAAAACAAAACAAAAATGGCCCGTGTAGAGAGGTGACCGTTAAGGAAGAAACACCTTATACTGACTGAAATCAATGAGGGAATACTACTGAGTATTGAAGGCTATTGTGTTTGCCACGACAGATATGCCGTTTTTCGAAAATTGCCGCACAGTCGCAAGCTATATCTTTGCATGAACTCTGCCAGCAGAATTTTCTTTTCAGCGTCATTTTTAAGCGTGTACGAAGTCGTTCGCACCGCCAAAAAAAATTTGCGTGGTTGGCTTGTTTACATCGCACACTAACATCGAACACCAAATGAGTGATTGTCTTGTGTTCCCGTCCTAGACAAACGTGAAATTAGGCCCTTTCACGTCGTACTCATGCAGCGACCGCTAAGAAGTGTACAAAGGGCGTGATGCACGTGCAAAGCTGTTGCTTTCCTAATATAAACCTATGCTCGTTTGCTGATTTTGGAACCGTCGCCGTCGTCGTTGCTTAAAATATTGTAGCTTCTTGCAACATCAACTTGTTCAGGGCCGAGCTTGTCCAGTCTAATCGCTAGAGAACGTTGCTGATACTCCTTGGCTTGCTCGAGGTCACCTAGGTCCTGGTAAATTACAGACAAGTTATTGTAGCTTGTTGCAACATCAACATGTTCAGGGCCGAGCTTGTCCAGTGTAATCGCTAGAGAACGTTGCTGATACTCCTTGGCTTGCCCGAGGTCACCTAGGTGCTTGTAAATTGAAGCCAAGTTATTGTAGCTAGTTGCAACATGAACATGTTCAGGGCCGAGCTTGTCCAGCTTAATCGCAAGAGAACGTTGCTGATACTCCTTGGCTTGCCCGAGGTCACCTAGGTCCTGGTAAATTAAAGACAAGTTATTGTAGCTTGTTGCAACATCAACATGTTCAGGGCCGAGCTTGTCCAGCTTAATCGCTAGAGAACGTTGCTGATACTCCTTGGCTTGCTCGAGGTCACCTAGGTCCTTGTAAATTAAAGACAAGTTATTGTAGCTTGTTGCAACATCAACATGTTCAGGGCCGAGCTTGTCCAGTGTAATCGCTAGAGAACGTTGCTGATACTCCTTGGCTTGCCCGAGGTCACCTAGGTGCTTGTAAATTGAAGCCAAGTTATTGTAGCTAGTTGCAACATGAACATGTTCAGGGCCGAGCTTGTCCAGCTTAATCGCAAGAGAACGTTGCTGATACTCCTTGGCTTGCCCGAGGTCACCTAGGTCCTGGTAAATTAAAGACAAGTTATTGTAGCTTGTTGCAACATGAACATGTTCAGGGCCGAGCTTGTCCAGCTTAATCGCTAGAGAACGTTGCTGATACTCCTTGGCTTGCCCGAGGTCACCTAGGTCCTGGTAAATTAAAGACAAGTTATTGTAGCTTGTTGCAACATGAACATGTTCAGGGCCGAGCTTGTCCAGTGTAATCGCTAGAGAACGTTGCTGATACTCCTTGGCTTGCCCGAGGTAACCTAGGTGCTTGTAAATTGAAGCCAAGTTATTGTAGCTAGTTACAACATCAACATGTTCAGGGCCGAGCTTGTCCAGCTTAATCGCAAGAGAACGTTGCTGATACTCCTTGGCTTGCTCGAGGTCACCTAGGTCCTGGTAAATTAAAGACAAGTTATTGTAGCTTGTTGCAACATTAACATGTTCAGGGCCGAGCTTGTCCAGCTTAATCGTTAGAGCGCGTTGCTGATACTCCTTGGCTTGCTCGAGGTCACCTAGGTCCTGGTAAATTAAAGACAAGTTATTGTAGCTTGTTGCAACATTAACATGTTCAGGGCCGAGCTTGTCCAGTGTAATCGCTAGAGAACGTTGCTGATACTCCTTGGCTTGCTCGAGGTCACCTAGGTCCTGGTAAATTACAGACAAGTTATTGTAGCTTGTTGCAACATCAACATGTTCAGGGCCGAGCTTGTCCAGTCTAATCGCTAGAGAACGTTGCTGATACTCCTTGGCTTGCTCGAGGTCACCTAGGTCCTGGTAAATTGAAGCCAAGTTATTGTAGCTTGTTGCAACATCAACATGTTCAGGGCCGAGCTTGTCCAGTGTAATCGCTAGAGAACGTTGCTGATACTCCTTGGCTTGCTCGAGGTCACCTAGGTGCTGGTAAATTGAAGCCAAGTTATTGTATCTTCTTGCAACATCAACATGTTCAGGGCCGAGCTTGTCCAGTGTAATCGCTAGAGAACGTTGCTGATACTCCTTGGCTTGCTCGAGGTCACCTAGGTCCTGGTAAATTGAAGCCAAGTTATTGTAGCTTGCTGCAACATTAACATGTTCAGGGCCGAGCTTGTCCAGTGTAATCGGTAGAGAACGTTGCTGATACTCCTTGGCTTGCTCGAGGTCACCTAGGTCCTGGTAAATTGAAGACAAGGTATTGTAGCTTGTTGCAACATCAACATGTTCAGGGCCGAGCTTGTCCAGTCTAATCGCTAGAGAACGTTGCTGATACTCCTTGGCTTGCTCGAGGTCACCTAGGTCCAGGTAAATTGAAGCCAAGTTATTGTAGCTTGTTGCAACATCAACATGTTCAGGGCCGAGCTTGTCCAGTGTAATCGCTAGAGAACGTTGCTGATACTCCTTGGCTTGCTCGAGGTCACCTAGGTCCTGGTAAATTGAAGCCAAGTTATTGTAGCTTCTTGCAACATCAACATGTTCAGGGCCGAGCTTTTCAAGTTTTAGGGCGAGTGAAAGGGCAAAGTATGTTTTTGCCTCGTTAAATTCGCAATGCATTTTACAAATATGCGCAAGGTTTTCACATTTTTTTGAAATGTCTTGATCATGAACTTGGAGAAAATTTTCTTCTTCAAACACTTCGTCGGTTACCATGGTTATGGTCTTTAAATGCGGAACCAGACGTATGGTGTCCAGTCTCCTATTTAATTGTGGAACAGCGTCTATAAATTCGTCAAATGATGTAATAACGGCATTTAGGACTTGAGGGGTTTGACTCTCCGGACAATTACTTATCATAATTTTGATAGCATCATGCACAACCTGGTGCACACGAATGAAGTAGCCACCTTGGTCATCTTCGAAAAGCAAAAGTGAGCAATTTCTTAACTTCATGCGTATTAGTTCCTTGTCCTCTTCATGAAAGTCTTGGAGTACGTTAATGATATAATTAATTGCTACGTCCACGTTTAATTGTTGTGGTGCGCAGAGGGAAAGGAGAGTGAAAAGGTGTTTCACAATCTCGTCAGAACTCATCAGTGTTTCGACGGCTAGCTTAATTGCTTGTGTCATTGACTTTGGGTAAATTGGGTTTGTATATGCGAGAGTATCCTCCGTAGTTTCTCTTTTGCCTTTTTCTAACATCTTCAGGTATTTGCTCCAGCCAAAATACTTCGATGCTTTGTCCTCTCGTATCCCTTTGACAAAGACGGCAGCGCCTGCTAAAGCAAGAGGTTGATAGTCTAGTTTTTGTGCCACTTTTCTCAATAACTCGCTATCTTTTATTCCAGATAGCTTGGCCAATAAGGAACAGGCATCGTCTGGCTCCATACCTTCGCTTGCTGAGATGTGATTAACAAAAGAGCCCTTTGGGGGGATTGACCTAATGTCTTGAGTTGTAATCAGCATCTGACCCCTTGCCCAAGTGTGGATTCCAGCCTGTGGTAAATGGACATGCACAGAGGACATGGTGCTGACATTGTCAACAACAAGTAGCCAAGATGTATAAGAGCTAATTTTTACAGCAATAAGCGTCTTAAGATAAGAGATCTTTTCCTCTACTTTCCAGACCTTGGAGCTGAGGATTTCCATAACCGAATAGTCTGGACACCTTAAATGGCGAGCAAATGACACATATGACTCCAAGAGTGAATCTGGACTAGCTGCCTTTAAGGTCATCACAAATGAAGAACTGCCTGGTATTTCCTTAATCTCGTCAAAGTACCTCTTAGCTACGAGGCCAGCTAACTGTGATTTGCCACTTCCAGGATTCCCTGAGATGTACAGACAACTCAGCTTGTTGACACTGGACTCTTTTAACTCCCTCAACTGCTGCGCTATTTCTGACACCTCGCGTTCACGATCATCGATGTCATGTGAAGGTTTAGGAGGGAGAATACAAAACGAAGGCGTTTCTTTCTGGAGCTGATCTTCAAGGACCTGGCGTTGATCCTCCTTTTCTAGAACTTCTTGTTTAAGGTCATCAACCTTTTTAAGGATCTGTTGTAATTCGTCTGTCGGAAACGTTTTCTGATTTTTTAAATCTTGAATTTTTACAGTGTGTAGACCAAGCACTTGAAATGCCACCTCAACTTTGCTAATAGCATTCTGAAAATCTGTGTCAGAGAGACTACCTTGTTTCATATGAGCAAATTCTTCGTTCCTGAAATTTCTAAGATGATCTACGTTCATCCTCACAGCTGCGTTAAGACTGGGCCCAACACAATCGGAGAAAAGAATGGCGTAGAAAAGCATTGTGCAATCCCATTCTTCTCTGTTTCCGTTTTGCATTGTGGTTAAAAGATGAGCATTTCTTCTTTGCTTTCGGGCAGACTCTCCGTTATAAAAGTCCATTCCATTCCGAGGCTCGTCTTTCCATTCTCCTTTTGTTAATTTGTACTGTTTATCCCATTCTTGTTTAAAGATTTCTCTCAGGCCTTCGGTGAGAATATCAGTTGTTGCATAACAAATTCTGAAGTAGTTCAGCTGTTCTTTGGAGTACTCTTGGGAAAAGGACATACTTGATAGAATTCTGGTCCTTGAAACCTTTGGGAAAATAATCCCTTGTGTTAGCAAATCAACTCAAAGGGACAAATTAATTTATACCAAAGAATCATAAAAGAAAACAAGGGGCACTAAAAACGAAAATAACTAACAAGGGTAGTGTTGAAATTGCATTCCAATCTCCCGTTTCGAAAAACTCTACAGCTCGATAACCTTTCTTTGACATTTAACAAAGCAACGTTAAGCCATCAAACATAAACTAAAAGAAGACTTGAAATTTTAACAATACCATATTTAAAATGTCGCCTTATCAATGACTTACTGAGCTCTCTCTGGAGCTCTCTTCAATGCAGTCTCCCCACACTGTTCTAATCCTCTTCATCATCTTAAAATTTTAAAGGCACCGGACGAATTTTCGACTAGTTTAAATTTCTTGCGTTCATGTGTTCCTTTCACACCTTCACACGGACTAACCGTACGAAAATTTAGACACTTCGCCGTTCAAAAATTTCAACGCCAAAAATCGAGCTCCTTGCATTTTTCAGCTCTGTTATACGATGCAATAGTACAATTAGACAGAAAACCCAAACGATAAGTAGAAGGTTTTTAAAAAAATGACTATTTTTGTTTAGAATTATGGGATAAAATTTGAGACTGTCAGTTAGATATGTTAAAGGGACTGGTTCACGATAATGCGCATGTGTGAGTTCTGAAAGTAGCTGATTGTTTTTAAACCAATCGAAAGCGAGTTAGATGCACGCAAGTAAATTTACAAAATTCAAATTAACTGTTCGCGACACGAGAGTATTTCCGGGCATTTGGTTTGATTTTATTTATCCCTATAATTCAAGTTTATTCTTTGCTACTCCTCAGATATATGTTGCAGCCGATAAGAATAACATTTACAGCCCTGTCCTGCTTTGAAACAAACATTTACCAACGTATATTTTTACGAGGTCGTACCCACGCTAAATTAAAGCAGTCACCGATCGGCAAACAAAATTTGTAAACAAACATCTTATTACTGTTCTCTCAGTTCGCCTTATATAAACCCAGAAACACCTACAAATAGCGCCTGACCGGTGACAAAAACACACAACGTATGAGTATAAAGATTATCCTTAACTGAGCATAAATTTCAATTGCTTATCAGCAAATGAACAAATTCATTCGCGTTGCATCGGGTCAGTGTTCCGCAAAACAAATGTTATCGAGTAGAACACATGAAGAAACTAGATTATAAACAGAATATTCAGGTAATAATTTATTTTAAAAACATCAATTCTTAAACATATATGATCGTAAAGCAAAGATACAAGGAACATTTCAAGTGTACCAGATCGGTGAAAATGCCTGTATATTAGGGTCATTCATTTCTTCTGCAAGTTGAAAAATGAAAAATGAAAATCTGTGTTCAATTTTTTTTTAATTAAAAATGAAAAATAAAAATCGACAATTGATTTTCAATTTTCATTTTTCTCTAAACATAAAAAAATGAAAAATGGAAATTTATGTTCAATTTTTATTCTTTTAGAAATTGAAAAATGAAAAATGACAAATGAAAATCTATGTTCAATTTTTATTTTTTTCTGAACATGGAAAAATAAAAAAGAAAATCTGTGTCAAATTTTATTTTTTTCAGAAAAATGAAAAATGAAAATCTGTCGTCAATTTTCTTTTTTTCTATGGATTCATAACGGAAATCAAACTAACCAGGAAATAAAGATACAATAGATTCCCGTGCAATTGCTGTCATCAGCTTCGATCTTGTTCAGTCGAGTGTTTCTGTTGCAATGCAGGAAGATTACATTATATTTTTCTCAGGAGTAGGAGAACGAGGAGTAGAAAGACGAGTGAAAAAAATGCCGGTGATAGGGGAGAGATTGGCTCAAATGTTTGGAGTAAGTCATACTGCAGATTATTGTAATTGAGCTGATGTTAGTTTGTAAGTGTTTTTGCAGGGAATGCATGTGACAGCTATGGAAGAACTTCAGAGGCTGACGAAGGTCTAAGGGACGGACCATTAGAAAACGTATGGGGGTCGGGGGGGGGGCGAAGTACAAAAAAAATATTCGCGCAAGGAAAAATTAAATGAAAAATATTCATGCACGCCAATTAACCCTAAAAAATATTCATGCTATGGCCTAAAAAATTTTCATACAAGGCATTCGATAACGAAAAATAATACCTGCTGCTCGAAAATTCCACACCCCCCCCCCCCCCCATAACTTTTCTAATGGTCCGTCCCGTCAGCTACAGTCGAATTTCCCATAAGCGACCACCCAAATGCAAAGGCTTGGTGGTCGCTTACGAGGGTCGGACCGCAAGGGCGAAATTTTCAAGTCAACCTAGGATGGGGTGGTATGTTTATTCTAAAAAGATAATAAAGGTTACTTTCTCCTACCAATTACTGGTAGTTGTATTGACACAATCATTAGCTATTCTATGCGACAGTTCATTTACGGAAGTGCACTTAATTAGATGACGCTATAAATTGGTGGTTAAAAAATTTTACTTGTGTACGTGACTTCTTTACAGAAATGTCCCTAAAACGTCTGACGAACAAAAACCTGGAAATCTGAGTCTTCTTCTCAAGGGTAATGGTTAATATTGTAGTTATAGATCGAACTAAAAAAAGCACAGTAATATTTGTGTGACAGCCAAAAAATAAATTCATTTTGTCCATTTTTACCGCCACGTGCTTCACTGTTTAGTAAGACCATGTGTCAAGTGGTCGCTTACCAGAGGTTTAAGACAGTAGAAAATTTTCAAACTATCAGCCGAAAAAGTGGTCACGGTCGCTTACGGAGGTGGTCGTTTACGAGAGGTTTCAGTATAAGGCTTTGATTGAGAACATTGGAAGAAATCAGCTCAATTACAATAATCTTCGGCATGACTTACTCTAAACATTTGTGCCAATCTTTCCGCTGTCACCTTCTTTTGTTTCACTCGTCTTTCTACTATTCATTCGAAAATAATATAATCTTCTTCCATTGCAACAGAAACACTCGAACAAGATGACAAATGACAGCAATTTCGCGGGAATCTGTTGTATCGTGATTAGTTGTTTTTCTTTATTTCCGTGTTAGTTTCATTTCCGTTTTGAGTAAAAAAAAAAAAAAAAACAGAAAATTGACCACAGATTTTCATTTTTCATTTTTCTATGTTCAGAAACAAAATAAAATGGAAAGTAGATTTTCATTTCTTTTTAATTTTTATTTTTTAATTCCTAAAAATATAAAAATTGAACGCCGATTTTCATTTTCATTTTTCTATACATTTACAGAAAAATGAAAATTGAAAATCAATTTTCGATTGTTATTTTTCATTTTTTAATTTTAAAAAAAAATGAAAATTGAACACAGATTTTCATTTTTCATTTTTCATTTTTCAACTTTCAGAAAAAATGAATGACCCTAACATACACGCATTGCTGAAGATCGCGCGGCCTGTTGCGGTATAACTACAGGTCGGAGTCAAAAATCAAATCAAAGTTGAACGAACTCATGCCTTTAACCACTTTCCAAGTGTCGTGTATTCTTTTCATAAGCCACACACTACTCCTAGAACCATACCAGATCGATCGGCTAAGCTTCTCTAACTCCAAAGACTCTTGAGAACGGCTTGTTGCCGGACGGCCACGATGCTCTTCTGAATTAACCTCCATGATCAAAACAGTATTTTTTGCGTAACCAGTCAAACAACACAACCACAGGTTAATCACCACTACCGAAGTATAACTAGACTAGCCAAAGCGACGGATGTCCGAATAAAACGAAGGATTTTCAATGATTGCACCGGTAATGGCGATTTCGAATTTAGTGTTGACCCGAAATTTATTCTGAAGAGACAAACGGCGCGCATGCGCATAACCGTGATCGAGTCCCTTTAACCCTCCATCGTACAGGGGGTGGAGTGGGGGGCTTAGGGTTAGGATTCCTTTTCCCAAGGGAAGTTTTCTGTGATTTTTAAACAATGATTATGACTATTAAAAACTCTTATTTTTATTTGCCGTCAGTTTATTTGTAACAAAAAGTAGCTCAATTATTCAAATCAATAAACTTTGAACACCCCTTAACAAAATTGAAAGTCGATTGCTATGGTGTGGTTAGGAGATATGACGGCGGCATAAGTGACGTTCACTGTGACCTCATGTACCTGAAACAGATCCAAAGGAAGCCAAATGTCTATATGTTCAGAGTTTTAACTAAGTTTTCAGTAAACCCCATAGTGTAGGCAATTTTGACCTACGTCACAGGTCGCCAATGGCACGATGAGACATTTTTATTACAAAAAGTCTTTGTTTTCACTCTCACCTGTCCTATTATATCACATGAAGTGTCGGCCATTTTGACTGACCTTATTGTTTCCCAGCTGCGCGATATCCCATGTATATAGAAGAATCTAGGTAACTCGAACTCTGAAGGGAAAGCGGAGAACTGGATTGAACTATTGGAGTTAGCCGAGTAAAAAAGACTAAAAAGTGAGGTGAACTTCAAGGAAAATGATGGGCCGTAGAATTAGGAGCCTTATGGGCTCCCGAATGACTTTTTCCTATTTCAGCGCCTTCTGCTGATATGGCCTGTTTCAAATAGGATCCCCTTAATTCTTATAGAGCCACATACTGCACTGCAAGCCCAAACTTATTTTGGACATTAATATTCCTGTGCATGAAAAACAGGCAACTCATTCGTCATGCTACAACTGGCGGACACATTAATGATTAATCAAATGTGTATTGCGCGCGAAGTGAGGCGCCAAAGGCGCCTGCATGCCTCTCGAGGTTTATAATCTCGTCGCGCGCTAAGCGCTTGTCCCGCGCGTGGTGTTAGCGACCTGCAAAGTCGGCCGGTCCATCTATACTTGCATATATCTCCATGGTGTCCGCCCTGACGTCATCTAGTGTGTGACGTCAAGGAACATTTTGTGCTTCCAGGCAACACCGAAGAGTGTCAACGCTTTGGTCATATTTCTATCGGTTTCGGTTTTTTTGCGGTCGTTTTACGGTATTAAGTGCTTTTTGCAATGAATTTCGAATGTAAAAGTACTTTTAAGAGCAAATGGAAGCGATTTTTGATAATAACCCTGAAGATATGGGCGAAAATCGAGGTAACAAAACACGTTTTCATGGCAAAAGAGTTGTACCGCATCGGCTTAGTTCGGCATCTGTTCTTTAAATGCGATAAAATGAGTTTACGTTGGGTTTTCAGCGTCAAAACAGCAGTCATTCTTCTGAAAGGTATCTTTGAATCCTTGTTTAATGAGGCGCGATCAACTTTAGACAGGGCGCGCTGGCAAAAGTTCTAGGGAAAAGCCTTTCAATAAAATATTATCGTTGCGTTCACAATATGTTCTACGTGGCTTAGTGGTAACAAAACGTTTAGTTTTTTTTTTTTTTAAATTAGTTATGGTAGTTTTGTTTTGCTTCTTTATATAGCTTAAGTTTGTTTTAAATTATGTATTTTTTTCCTATTTCCCTTCAACTTCTTGCCGTTCGCCCGAAGTCCTTCGCGAGGTCCTTCGATTCATGTATTTCTAGTAATCCTTAGCTATTGTTACCAAAGTTGCCGGTTGACGTATATTTAAACAATTTAGGGTTGTTGAAAAAACCTTTCCGTCAAACTTTCCATCCCCAGATTGTCAGTTTTTTGTAGATGATGTACTTACTGTTAACGAAGAAGGCTAAGATCACAACTGTAGCATGATTACAGAGTTACCGATCGAATGAGCAAGGGAAGCAGGGTGTCTAAGCGGAAACAGGATCTTTCTTTTAGCATGCCTGTGCGTGACGTCTGTTTCTATTTTCGCCGTAATTCAAACCACTTAATGCAAAAAAATACCCACATCAATTACATATTTCACAGCACATTTTATTGCGTTATTTTCACCATTTGCTTCCGCTTACCTCTTCCACAATCTACTTAACAATTATTCCTGGAGCCCGAATGGGCCCTGAGTCCCATAAGGGCGAGAGGAATAATAGACATTTTTACCGATACGGCGGCCATATTGAATTAATTCGATTCAAGGAGTATTATAGGATGCCCAGGGGACATGAGCACATTTCGTTTGTATTTCCGAGCGCCTTTTGGGACATTTTTCCCTAAAGTTTTCTTAGAATATGATTCTAATGGGAAGAAAGATCCTTGTGTCGTGTTTGGATTTAATAATGATCACCTTTTTCCCGAGAAATATACAGTGAAAGACCATATTTCTAATACTAAACTAGAAAAAGGCGATCATTATTTCATCCAAACACGGCACAAGGATCTTTTTTCCCATTACAATCTTGTTCTAAGAAAACTTTAAGAAAAAATGTTCCGAAAAGCGCTCGAAAATACAAACGAAATGTGCTCATGCCCCCTGGCCATCCTATAATAATCCTTAAATTGAATTAATTCAATATGGCCGCCGTATCGGTAAAAAGGTCTATTGTTTTCGTAAAATCCGACTAGTTGGTAAAAAATATCGAGACAAAACAACTTAAGCTAGTCAAGGCTAGACTTTAAACCTTTTTAGCCGCCAAAAACCCCCGCGTTTCCCTATTAGTAGGCTATAACATCAAGCCTAGTAGTAACTCAACCAATCACAGTGCAGCATTGATAATAGACCACTAGTTGGATTTTACTAAACTAGTAGTAACCGATGGTTAGGAAGTGCGGGCGAACATGTGGGTTTACCTTAGAGATGTGATTGATGAGAACCGCTTTCATAATTGTGTAGGTGAATTAGAGAAAGCCCTTTTAGTCCCAGTGTCAAAAAATGAATTACTGCGGATCATGAGCGTAGAAACTGAATTGAACAACACAGTAAACAATACTCATATTTAATTCATCGATTTTATTCACAGTTACTCAGGTACAATTATTAGCCTTCGAATGGTGAGGACCGAAGAGAGAAGGCTGTATTCACATTCAAAGATACAATGAAAACAGTAATGCGTGACACAACGCTCAACCTGAAGTGTATACAGTCGTCACGACTGCATGAAGTCTTATTATTCAATCGAGTATTGAATCCGTGTTTAATGACCTAAGGCAATTGATATGCAAAAGAAAATAATGAAAAAAACCAAGAGCCATAATTATGGCTCTTGAAAAACTTAGTTTACCACTGGAGTTTGAAGCCTATTGAAGCTTTCAGATGACAAGCGACGTAACATGCCTGACATCGTATAAAAATACAAAAACCATGCACTGGAGTGGAACCTGAATAAACTTAATTTACATGGATTTCTAGACCTTGCTAACATTCGTATCTTCCATACAACTCGTCTCACACTAAGCTGAGATCAGGCCCTGCTTTCATTTTCCTGGGAAAATAGAGAATCGGCCGGCAAGGCGAATAGAAAAGTCTCATATTTGGTACAGTATTTGCGTACCTGAATTACGTTTACTTGCGAATCGAACAATGATTGTTGCATCACTTGCATGTACTTTCACGTGATTACTGTGACATCAGACGGACCTTAAACTCAACACCAGGACCTTTGCGGCCACATACCATGTATATTAGTCGGTGCAACACGAGCATCCCAAGAATGTGGACAGATTTGGGAAAAACCTCGATACCGCTAACCAAGAATAGTCTGCAGGCTCCTTTAGTCGCCCTCAATTACTTAGCCTGCGTGGCAGGCGTTTGAAAGGGAAGAGAAAGGGAGTTTTGAAAGGGAAGGGAAAGGGAGTTTTAGGTGCGAGAACGCGAGGGGCGGTCGAGGAGGAAGGGAGGAAAACGCCTGCCAGGAGACCATTGTTTTTTTCCTTTTTAACATCCACCAAGCAAATGTTAAAATCCTGATTGGTCCGTCTTCAAAACATGTCAATCACAGCCTTAATACCTTAATCCGATTAGCTGAAATCAACATCACACTACTGAGTAATCTTTCAGTAATTATTTAAAAATATGTTGTTAGTGAGGCGTGATGAGATTTCTGTATAGAATTCATCGTTTTAGAACGATTAGAAACTGAAGGCATCTATTGCAGCTTGAAAGGAGAATAGAAGAAAGCAGTTAAAAGACTCGTATGAAGGGAAAGACCTGTCAGCTAGATGAGTTGTGCTGACTGGTTTTTAGTGTAAGTCTTGTCTCCCAACGGCTTGTTTTACTCACTAGAAGAAAGAAAGGAAAAATTATCTGCTGTTTGACCTCAAACGCCTACAACGCAAGCTACGCTTAATCAACGACCAGATTGTTGAAGACGAAGCGATCTATAATCCTTACCGATTTTTGGTTTAAGGACTTCTCACTGGTTATATACGTTATAAAGCCGCCAGGAACTTACTTTAATAATAATAATATTGATTGCAGAATTAGCCTTATTGGAGATCTTTGAAGTTCAGCTCTTCTTTCCCCGCTACCAGCGTTCTTTTCTATGCTCCGCTGGATCCAGTTCGAGAGGCGGCAAAGTGTTTGTAATTAATTTTCTTCGACACACATTGCATGCAAGTTGGGAAGTCCAACACGATACCTTCGGCAAAAAAGTGATAGATTTATGCTGGATTTTATATAACAAGCCTCGTATGGTTGCGACTTCCTTCAACGGACGACCGCATTTATACTTTTTTTAATAGTACCTTCACTTCAGATTTCTTGTTTTGGGAAAACAAAAGAAAAACAGTACGCGAAATACGACTTTAATAGGCGCATCACGGCCAGACTTATTTGACAGCTAGTCATTCACAGTTGCGTTATTTTTGCATACATAATTAGTAGGCGAGATGGCGAAAACAATGGTTTCCTGGCAGGCGTTTCCCTCCTCCCCTCCCTCCTCGCGCGCCCCTCGCGTTTCCCTCGCACCCAAAACCCCCTTTCCCTTCCCTTTCAAACGCCTGCCACGCAGGCTATCAATTACTCAGTGGAGTATTTTCATGGTAAGAACTGGCCTGTTTCAGGTGTTCAGATGAGCGCGAATGGCAAATGGCGCGAGTGGAGAGCAGAGAGAAAAAAAAAACAAGCGGGCGGGAATCGAAAAAGAAAACAATATGTCAATTATTGCACAATGGCGTCCGTATTTTCACTCTCAGCGAATTCAACCTACTCAGCTCGTTGACCCGCAGCTAATCATGTATTTTTTCTTCATATTACGCCTTCTTAATAATTTTTTGTAGTAACCTAAAGCTGTAGGTCGATGACGTGCTATCATGATAGTTCAGCCACATATGCTTTTCGCATTGCAGTTTTTTGAATAATTGAGAATATTGCATTTTAGCACTGTAAGCGGTACCACTTCCCAATTTATACGCCAGTGGGGTATAAGAAGCACAATAATTTTGTAAGGGAGGTCCCCCCGGGTTTTGCTGTGACTGTTCTTGGGTGGGGTCGAACAAATAAAACTGAGAGCCCAATTTAATGGCTCTTTCTTCTCCGTCACCTTCCTTTAATTTATCAGTTCAAAAAACACATATATTTTATGATTATAAAGTAAAGGAGAGCCTTATACAGTTTTGAAGACCAAAATTCATTTATACATTGCTATGAAAATCAACTTCCGTCATGCCTGAACTGACGACACAATCAATGGAGAGTTCAAAAAGCTTAGCGAAACAGGATCAGGAACACGTTGCTTATATTCGTTTCACCAGTTTTTGCACTTAGTATCGTAGTCCATCTACGGTATCCCATGTTCGCCACATTCTTAGCAAGATCATGTTTGCGATTCAGGCTCAACATTTTGAACCATTGCTATATAGCACTGTACATGGACCGAAATTAGAAAATTGTTTAAACTTCACGTTTAGAGACAGTCTGTTATCTTCGCAACTGTGGCAAGTTGACTAAAATACTCAATACTTGGTTACAAAGATCTGGTATCTCATAACTATTGCGGCAAAAAAGCCAAAAGGTTGCCATATGTCATTTTGGGCAATTTTAAGGTTTCAAACATGAAATAGCTTTCTATATACCGAGACTGCATCAAGAACTGCATCACTTGGATAGTCATTTTTTGAAGTACACTTATTATCTTAAGGGACTGTTTTTTACTACAAGTAGACACCCGATTTGCATACTTGCATTGATGTAAATTAGCTTGCTGTTGAGGACACAATAAATGGTTGAGGTTTGAAACAATGGTGAAACAATTAGAAAAACACGTCGCTTGCGTAGACTTATGGATTTTGCTGTCTTGTTAAGAAATTCGTTCTAAATGAGGAGCAGTATCGGCGATATAAGTTACTTGAGGTCCGACACGGCCCAAAATAGTATACTGTTACAATACGCTATTGCATATTTAATTAGCAGACGATTGTTTAGATCGCTATTCCCAATACGGACCATTCTTTGTTCATATTCAGTTAGCTGTAGATCACGCTAAAAATTATTATTCATTGTGCAGTGTAACTTTGTAGTGAAAACCGTTAGGACGCTGAATAAACTTCGCTCGTCAAAAGTTGTCTTGTCAGGATATTTATTCATGCTGGAAGCGGAAAGAACATGAGGAAACATATACCTCGTGAACATTAATTGCTACAGGCCAAACTTTTTAAAAGTTTGTTTCAATTCCAAAAAACAGCTCATTTTCTTCGTCACCGCCTGGGCAAAGTCACTACGGACACTTAACGCATGGTCTCCAACACTTTAATATTCTTAAGCTATTGCGGTTAAGGTCGCAAGTCGCTTGAACAGTTTTAGCGCGCGATGTCCCACGTCAAGCATTCCATTCCCCGATTGTCCTTGTTATCACTGCAAATAGAAAGCCACACGAATTGTAGCTGACTTGAGGCAAATGATCCACTAATTACTGTTTACGACGAAGGCTCGGACAGCAAATTATTGTAGCATGGTTTTCATGGTATTTACAAAGAGTTACTGCTTGAATGACTAAGGGAAACAGACCGCGTCAAAGACGTTTTCTTTCTTTTCAATATGCCCCTGCGTGACGTCTGTTTTTATTTTAGTGGCGATATTAAGCCCCCAAAAATGCGCATTTTAATTGCACAATTAATTCTCGGCTCTAGTACCATTTGGTTTCGTTTGTTGCCTTCACAATCCATAGGTCATTGCCCAGGGGTTGGTAGCTTAGTGGAGTATTTTAGTATGAGTAGCCAGTTCCAGGTGTTCCGTTGAGCGGAGAATGGTGCGAGTAGATAGCAGAGAGAAAATAACTAGAGGAATCGAAAGAGGAATCATTGTATCATTTGGGCGATGACGTCAGCGTTCTACTGTCAGGGAATTCGACCAAGTCAGCTCATTCACCCGCAGCCGCTGGTCATGTATTTCCTCTTTACTATTTTGGTAACCTGCAGGTCGAAATAATGTTTGCGACAGGAATTTTTTGGACAGCACTCAAATACCTATATACTATAAAAGTTCACCCACACCTAACGTTTTTCGCATAACAGTTATTTGAGAAAACGTATTATTGATCATTAACATATATCAAGAGCACAAGAGCAAACAAGGAAACAACATAATTAGCTTTCACCTCACAGCGTAGGCAGACGAGGGAAAACCTTTCTAAGAATTTCTTGAAATAAAATGAAATGGCTTTTATATTTTGCTATTTAAATCAATTCTTTTTCAGGGGGAGGGAGAAGGGAAGGTGAACTACAACAAAGATCTGTCCTGCTTTCCACGTCACACTGCACTAGTCACGTTTGCTATATGTCGCCCCATGTATAAGGGAATCCAAGACGGTCTTGGATTCTGGATTCCACGCCGTGGATTCCAGATTCCTGGTACTGGATTCCAATCTTTGTCAGTGGAACTTGGATTCTGGATTCCAATCGATGGTGGGATTCAGAATTCCTTGAGTTGTATTCCGGATTCCGGATTCCGGATTCCACAAGCAAAAATTTATCGGATTCCCCTACTTGGGGCGATATATGCATCACTCTGCCGTAATTTAGTATACAACCAGGAAAGTTAAATTTTTCAATACCGTATGGTTACCAGTGAGTAATGTACTGTAGTGACGGGAGTGTTCGTTACAAATTTTCGAAAACACTCCTGAAAGGTACATGAATCTCGTTATGAAGCAACAATAACTGGCAGAGACAATTTTAAATCGCGATGGTCTTTTCAGTTGACTAACAAATGGTCCCGTTCGTTTGTATAGCTCCTTAACGTCAAATACCCCCAAAAGGTACCACGATAACTCCAGCTGCTGTCGTGCAAATGTTAGTAATCTTAAAGGTGAAACATCAAATGATTTACCTTTCTTCCCTAAACTCAGCAAATCAGTGTAAAATGCGTCAAGGGTGGAGTAGTAGCATCCACCAGGATTGTTAGGGTAGTGCTTGCTCTTAATATCTTAAAGAACGGTTTTTTACTACAACTTATAGACACCCAGATTAATGATGTTCATGATGTACTTACTTTTTGCGATTTTAATCAGTCTTATTGCAAGCTATTAATGAGAGCATCTGCTTGAATGACGAAGGGAAATACGCTGTGAAAACGAAAGCGGATAAACATGCCACGAGGTGACATCATATTCCGCACCACCAAAAATGCGCATATTTAGCAGCTAACGTTATCCACGGGTCATAGTCAGGGCGGGGGGTAGGGAGGAAGAGGGGGTAAATTGGCGTATTCGAGATTTCAAGTTGGACTTAAAGACTACAAGCGAAAAAAAAGCTATATACCCCAAAAATCGCTGAACAGTTTTTTGTACCCCAAAAATGAAAACCACCTTTTAGTTATTAATTCATACATTCATGTGCATCACGTTGACTGCCTGAGTTACTACAGAACCAAGTAAGAGCGTATGCACTTTTGAAAAAACAATCGCGTAGGTTACTGGCCGGCAAGAAGAATCGAAAAGTCTCATATTTGGTACAGAACCTGTGTCCCTGAACTACGTGTGCTTGCGAATCGAACAATGATTGTTGCATCCCTTGCATATGCTTTCACGTAATTACTGTGAAATCTGACAGACCTTGAACTCAACACCAGGACCTTCGCGGCCACATACCATGCATATTAGTCGGTACATCACAAGCATCCCAAGAATGTGCACAGATTTGGGAAAAACTTCGCTACTATAGAGTACCGTTGACCGAGAATAATCTGCAGGCTCCAATTGTCACCCCCAATTACTTAGTGGAGTATTTTCATGGTAAGTACTGACCTGTTTCAGGCGTTCAGATGAACGGAGATTGGCGCAAGTGGAGAGCAGGGAGAAAATAACAAGCGGGCGGGAATCGAAAAAGAAAGCAATATGTCAATTGCATAATGGCGTCCGTATTTTCACTGTCAGCCTATTCGACCTACTCAGCTCATTGACCAGCAGCTAATCATGTATTTCTTCTTCATATTACGCCTACTTAATAATATTCTTTGGGAACCTGAAGCTGTGGATCGATGGCGTGCGCATGCTATGAAAGTTCAGCCACGCATGTTTTTCGCATAGCAGCTTTTTGAATAATTGAGAATGTTTTAGCACCGTAAGCAGTACCACTTCACAATTTATACGTCAACAGGGTTTAGAAGCACAATCTTTTTTGTAAGGTGGTCCCCCTGGGTTTTGCTTTCGACTGTTCCCGGGTGGGATCAGACAAAGGACACTAAGAGCCCAATTCAACGGGCTTTTTCTTCTCCATCACCTTCCTTTAATATATCCGTTCAAAATTTCATATATTTTATCAACTAAAGGAGAGCCTTACACAGTTTTGAAGGCCAAAATTCAGTCAGTACACATTGCTATGCAAATCAACTTCCGTCATGCCTGAATTGACGACACAATCAATGGAGAGGTTGAAAAGCTTGGCAAAACAGGATCAGGAACACGTCGCTTGTATACATTCTTTCCACCACTTTTTGCATTTAGTGTCTTAGTCCATCTAAGAACAGTATCCTATGTTCACCGCATTCCGTAGCAGGATCATGTGTGCGATTCAGGCTCAACATTTTGAACCATTGCTATATAGCACTGTATATAGGTTGAGAATCAGTGAGGGTAAAAAACGGAATGAGTTTGCGGAATGGCATGTGGCATGGCTTGCGGAATGACATAATTATGCGGAATTTAATATACGCAGCTGAATGATCCAAAGAAATAAATTAAACTGAAAAGAGCGGCCTTTTTGGCGCCAATCAATTTGCAAACGCAGCCGCTGTTTTAATGTTGCGGGCTTAACATACGATGACAATCAAAAAATCACGAAGGCTCATTGTCGACCAGCCTTTTCGGCAAAGCCAAAAAGATTCTTCTTCTATTGAAGAAAAGATGCTTTTGAAGGTCACGCTCCCTTCTACTTTAATTTTTTTCTGCAAAAGATGTTTGTACGATTAACTTAACAGTTTCTTGTTACCTCAGTATATTTGTATTCGAAACCGTGTGAGAAGTGCCGGGGAGAAGTGTTTCTTTATGAGACTGTGGGCTACGTGATCGTGACATAATTGATAATATTCAGAGGTGAATCGAATCTTGTATTTTGTTTTCTCAGTTGCATTGCGAGCTTGAGACGTGCGAAACAGAAAAATCGACCAAAATCTTAATTTCGTGGCAAGAGTTGAAAAATCAATTTCTTTCATTTTTGTTCATGGATAGCTTTTAGGTATATAAGAAATCTAACGTAGATTGTTCCCGTCTCAGACTGCATTAATCTTTAACCTGAAATTCGCTAACATCAACTTTCCTCGCGTTCGCAAAGGAAGCTGGATGGAGAAATTTGGACACTTTCCACGAACAGAAAAATTCTTTTCCTTCCACTAGAAGATACTTTCTGGACAATAGGGAAGCTGGTCGTACCGAAATAATGTTAAAAATGAGGGATAGGTTTCCAGGATAACAAAAATTAAGTTCGTTACTCATATTCGACGGCAATATTTAACATCATGGTATAACTCCAAATTCTCTTCTCGCTATTTAAATCACACATTTAGACATTCATTTAACACATACCTGGGAATTGGCTTGGGTAAGTGAAGGAAATCTCTGTAAGACACCATCGAAGTTCAGGAACACATCCAATTTCGAAACGCACGTAAATAGATATTTACAGCCTAAAGGCTCGTTTTTCGTCCGTCTTATATGTTTTCCCTTAGGAAAATTGCTTTTTTCAATCAAAGAATGGGGTTAAAAGGTGAAACTGGGTCAATTTTAGCCATTTTGAAACACTGAACTTTACCTGCCGGCGACTCTGCGTGATACTCTGTTCTGTGACTGCACGTGGCACAACGTACGTTTGAAGAGACGGAGCTGTCAAAATGACAGTCACGAAATCAAAGTAGTAACGCAACGTAATTCTTGATCGCAGGAGTAACATTTTCGGTGCCAACAGTATTTTGAAGAAGCAAAACGCACAAGTATTTATTTTGGTAACGCCTCACTATATTTACCGGACTTCAATGTTTTCGTTTGGAGGCTGCCTTCAGGAATCTTAGCCAATTCTCAGGTATGTTTTTACAGATGAATGTCTAAAGGCGTGAACCAGTAAAGCAGTTGCTCACTCAAAGTGGCGCCAAAAAAGGCGCGGCAATGACGCGCGCGCATGCCTTTCAGTTTAATTTATTTCTTTGCGCCAATTGCCACATTTTACATTCCGCATAATTATGTCATTCCGCAAGCCATGCCACATGCCATTCCGCAAACTCATTCCGCCTTTTACCCTCACCGGTTGAAAACCAGAAAATTGTTTACACTTTACGTTTAGTAGACTAAGAGTAGTTTACGCGCGCTCGCGTTTCGCTCGTTCTACTATCCCTGAGAAAAAATGCCATTATCTCATAACTATTGCGGCAAAAAAACCAAAAGGTTGTCAAAGCGACGCCGTTTTGGACTAAGACTGCGTCAAGCACTGCACCACTTGGATATTCAGTTTTTGAAGTATTCTTAGCATCTCTTAATATATTTTAACTACAAGTAGACACCCCATTTGTATACTTGCATTGACGTAAAAGATGTACTTACTGTTGAGGACACAATAAATGCGTTGAGGTTTGAAGCAGTGGTGAAACAATTTCGAAACAGTTGGAAGAACAAGTCGCTTGTGTAGACTTGTGGATTTTGTTGTCTTCTCAACAAATTCGTTCTTAATGAGAAGAGTATCGAACGGATATAAAATACTTCAGGTCCAGCAAGTCTCAAAATAGTATACCTTGTGAACATTTGCTAACATTGCTACAGGCTAAACTTTGTTAAAAGTTTGTTTCCAAAAAACAGCTCATTTTCTTCGTCATCGCCTGGGCAAGGTAACTACGGACACTTAACGCATGGTTTGCCAAAAGATACCTTAGTATTCTTAAGCTATTGCTGTCGAGGTCGCAAGTCCATTTCGATTGAACAGTTTTAGCGCGCGATGCCCCACGTCAAGTATTCCATTCCCCGGTTGTCAGTTTTGTTACTGCAAATAAAAAGCCACATCATTTGTAGCTGAGTTGATGTAAATGATGTACTACTTACTGTTTACGACCAAGGCTTAGAAGGCTCGGATAGCAAATTATTGTAGCATGATTTTCATGGTATTTACAAAGAGTTACTGCTTGAATGACTATAAGGGAAACAGACCGCGTCAACGGCGGTTTCTTTCCTTTCAATATGCCCCTGCGTGACGTCTGTTTTTTTTTTTATTTTAGTGGTAATTTCAAGCCCCCAAAAACGCGCATTTGAATTGCATATTTCACGGCCCTAGCACCATTTGGTTTCGCTTGCAGCCTTCACAATTCAAAGGTCACTGCCCAGGGGTGGGAAGCTTGGTGAAGTATTTTTGTGGTTAGTTGCCTGTTACAGGCGTTCAGATGAGCGGAGAATGGCGCGAGTAGAGAGAAGAGAGAAATAACAAGCGGAATCGAAAGAGAAATCATTGAATCAATTGTACGATGACGTCCGTGTTTCTACTGTCAGGGTAGGCGACCTACTTATTAGCTCATTGAGCCACAGCTAATCATTTATTTCTTCTTTACTATTTTAAAGGGGCCGTGTCACGGCAGGCCAGTTCATTTGGTCTAATTTTGCGAATTACTCTCCCTCAATCGCTATGGAACTTAAAGTAAGCAAAGAAACTACACGTAAATGACAAAATCAGAGATCTGAGGCAAACAAATATGTCTCCTGAGCATTATTTTTGAAGTTGCAAGCAGCAGGGATCAATTTTGAAAAAGCTGTTAGGCTGAACAGTTTTTCAAAAATCCTAATTTCAATCCGTTTCAATCCTCTTCAGTTTTGCCTATCCTTGGCATCTGTTGTTTCCGGTATGTTATTTTAACCTTCCTTTAAAGTTTTAAGTGGTTATTTTTATGTGTCTCTTAATTTAATAGGCATTTTGTAATTTCCTAATTTGGCTGAATTTCGTGACATAGATCCTTTAAAAACACTCCTGAAGGATACATGAATCTCGTTATGAAGCAACGATAAATGGCAGTGACAATCATAAATCTCGATGGCTCTTTTAGTTGACCAACAAATGGCTCAGTTCATTTGTACAGTTCCTTAACGTCAAATTCCCCAAAAAAGGTACCACGAAATGTACAACTCCAGCTGCTGTCGTTTTACATTTAAGTAATCTGAGAAGAACCACTTCACAAGTTATACCCCAAATACTGCGAGCAAAGATTTTTTAACAAAGGCCTCCTGGGGTTTGCTTACTTTCCTTGTCGATTTTTTCACCTTCTTTTAAAACTCCCCGTTTCAAATAGCACATATTTTATATACCACAGGAGAGCCTCATACGGTTTGCAATCCAAAATCCATTTAGACACTATTATTCAAAACAACTATTGTTATGGTTAAATATTGCCGACCCGCCTAATGGAAGTCAAATAAGCTTGAAGAAACAGCAATACGTCGCTTCAATTCTTTAGCATTTGGATGTTATCTTTTTCTTACATTTAGTCCCTTAGTCGATCTATGAACAGTATCTTCGTAAGTTACCTAACGTCCACTGCATTCCAAGAAGGAGGATCATGTACATTTATGATGATTCAAGTTCAAAATTTTCAATCATTGCTGCAGGCTAAAATTTATTTACACTTCGCGGTAAGAAACAGCCTGTTTGGCAAAAATACTCAACGCATGGTCAGGTTACAAACAGGTATTATTCATTAACTATCGATGCGAAAAAGGTTGCTAGTCGACGTCGTTTTGAACAATTTTAAGGTCTCAAACATCAAATGATATACCTTTCTACCCTAAAATCAGTGTAAAATGCGTCAAGCGTGGAACAGCATCCACCCCGATTGTCAGTGTAGTGCTTGCTCTATAATAGCGGAGCTCGTGCGCGAAGTGCGCGCGCAGCGGAGCACCATGGGTAAGAAAATTTGGTAAACTATCCATCTGAGAAAATTTGGTTACGAAGTAGCGTACGCCCACCCGTACACACACTTCATGTAAGCCGATGTCAAATGTCACAATAGATCTTGCACAACTTGACTAGCCTCTTAGTTATGTAAGCCATCCGTATGAGTACGATTAGATTGACAGCTGTCAAAATCAGACATCCGCTGACATATATCACATGACCATCTTGCGGGTTCAGATAAAAGACCAGTCGTTGTGCCCCTATATATAAGCTGATATAATATGTCACACTTACCAATTCAACATAAAAACGAAACTACGCCGGGCAAGGCTGTCAGGGCTGACAGTCGTTGAAAGTTACATTGGCAAGCCAAATTAAGGTCAATTGACAGCTGTCAAAATGGGACATGTGCAGACCACTATCAGAAAACTAATAACGTGGGCTCAGGTTCGCTCAGGTACACGATCTGGCATTTTCCACTAAATGCGGTCGGATATGTCCTACTCACACTCGTAGTCTGTTAATTCGAATATTCGCCATTCTAATGAAGGTTAATTGGCAGCTGTCAAACTAGAGTATACGCTGACCATCATCACATGAGTGGATCGCGGGCTCATTTTTATATACATTGAGGTCACGTAGTGTTTAAAGTTTTGCGCTGATATTTTAATTTATTTGATCACGGACTCAATTCAAAGCCCCATAGCTTTATAGAAAATCTATCCATCCTAGAAAATTCGGCAATCACGTGACGGTACACCGACCACCCGACCTTACGTCCGTCTACACCACAGGCATACCAATGTTTAATCTCACACTTTCTAGCTAGTATGGGAGCCTGCAACCTGATATTGAACACCTATGTTTTGATTAATTGACAGCTGTCAAAATAGATTTTCTGCTGACCAGTATCGACTGACGGTATCGCGGGCTCAGGTATCGATCCACTGAGTTCGAGTGCTCTTTTGAAGGTATCCACTGACAAGTTGCTACTTTTCAAATGATCGCAGGCTCAAGATCAATTTTTTAAAAATGTATATAAAATTAGTCGTGTTCATGAGCCGCACTTTTAAAAAGTTGCTGCTTTTCAAATGATCGCAGGTTCAAAATCATTTTTTTAAAAATACATATGAAAGAAGTCGTGTTCATGAGCCACACTTTTAAAATTTTGATTTCGAACTGACCTCGGACGCGAAAATTCAACCGGCTTTTACATGCAGGGAAGACAATCGCTTTTGACTTTTGTCACCGTCACGCGTTGATCACGCTCTACGTCCAATTTTTATGTTCTGATTGGTCAAAATTTGACAGGTGAGTTCATGCGGAAAATTTATGCAGCATCTAGAAACTTGCTTTCTGATAGCTGAAGCTGACAGAGTTTTGTGTCATCTTGTGATGTTTTAAACAGTCTTTTTCTACTTGATATACAAAATGAAATACAGCTGCTCTCAAGATTGTTCTGTAATTCATGGCTGGTTTGTTTATTGCGCTTTTTGTTGACAAATGCACCGCTTGTCAAAGTCGTTGGAAATCCGATTTCGGATGACATCGTTTTCAAAAATGAGCTTACTCACTTGCCCTTGCTTGAGGGGTAAGAGGGTTGAAAAGTCTCAAGCGATCCTGGAACACTTGATGACCTTCGGAAGCGACATCTCCACTGGTAAGCCTGAGCAATTATTGTCTTTGATGTGTATTTTATTTGTTTTCGGTTTCCTGAAGTGGAGCGTATGGTTTATAGGGCTTAAATTTCTACACGAGCAATGATCTAAGCTACAATAGTATCAAGTTTAAAAAGCCTTTAGACATTTTTTGACCGCAAATTCAAAGAGAAGGTTTCGAAGAATATTTAGTTATGATTTTGGCTGTAAACAGAAAGCTCTGAGCGATTTTCTTGCCTCGAGTTCCTCTTGAAAAAGAGCAAACACCGGGAAGCCGGCTTAAAACATAAATAAGCTTATGCTTACCTGACTCATGATTTTCAGAGACACTGCTCTCAATACTTGTCTTCGTGAATGAAACTTATTGTCTCTTTACATGTTTCACCGAATTATATTTGTTTTATTGATTGTTAGTGGTCCCTCTCGCAATTTTCAGCACTGCACCGGTTCTTTCCAGTCGAACATAAAACATCGCATGCAGGAATACTCAAAACGCCGGGCGTAAATAGCTCGCTTTTAAAGATTACACGTAACAAATCATATACAGTTTTCTAAATAAAGGGAAATAAAACCTAAACATAACAAATTCTCTATCACGTTGAAGCGTAAATGTTAACTCTATTAATCGGCACTGCAAATATGGTGCCTGTCAAAAGTAAGAACCCGTCCGGCTGGCCGAAAAGGTGGTTTTGGGAATTTTTTTATCGTTTTCACTAAAAGCCCATAATTATTACCCTGCATATCACATAGGACCAGATTTTTCGTACTGAAAAGTCCCGGCATCATGGAATTCTCTTCATGAAAACGTTTTATAATCTGGCAATGCTATAATTTGTTGTGCAAAGGAAGCGCGTGCTTTTATCGTCCTGGGCCCAGTTGCTCAAAGGCCGATTAGCGCTTAACCCGGGTTTCTTTTTCTTGTGTTCAAAAGCATTTTCTCGGATAATTTTCTCTGGTATGTTTAGAGCTTCCAATTATCAACTTGTAGACAAAAAGAATTAAAACTGAAATGCTTTTTAAGCTTTCAAATCTGAATTCAAATCTCGCACTAACACTGGGGTTATCTTAACCCAGCTTTGAACAACTCGGCCCTGATAGAGATTTATCCGATGGATAGCGCTATCCAGCTTTTGAACAACTAGGGCCTGGATATTGAATGAGTGTAATTTGTCTTGCAAAATTGTGAAAAACTGCAGAATTATAGGTTTAAATAGGGCAAAAAAGAACAAAATTCTATCCGAGGTCTGTATGATAAAAAAGGGCCTCATAGTACTGCGCTTACCTGAGACGTGATGAGAAAAATTATGTTTAAAAGGCTGGTTTACACGCCACCAGATTCGTCGCCAAGATTTACTTGTAAAGTAAACGTGTCGAACACAAAAAATCCGGCCTGATTTTTTATTTTGGCCTCCCTTTTAGACCGAGGAATACAACGTGTAAATTGGCTGCCACCAAGGACTATCGTGGCGCGTGTGTTTCTTTTAATTCTTTTGATTTTAAAAAATTGTATTTCGGGGTCATCCAATCATCCATGGTCTCTCAAACGGAGCAACAGCTAATGCAAATACAATACACGAATAGGTCTATTTGTTTTCCAGGCCTAATCTACTGTGATCGAACATGATTGCTATTTTTCGGTGTACAAATAAGACTATTTAATAACTCGATGTAAAATTTGTTTCACTCTTGGACGGTCAAATTATTTTTCTCTAAAATCACTCAGCCTTTGCCTCAAAAGTCAAATGAATGTGCCCTGATCTGTGGATTACAAGTTTATTGTTTGATTTAAATTATGAATTTATTAACGGGAGCTTCGCTTTTAGCCCTGGCTAAATCTATATATTATCTTAAGCAACTTTTTTTTACTATAACTATAGGTCACCCGATTTGTACACTTGCTTTGATGTAATGATGTACTTACTTTTTGCGATTTCACACTGTCTTATTGCAGCCTGTTAATGAGAGCGTCTGCTTGAATGACGAAGGGAAATACTGTGAAAAAGAAAGCGGATGTTTACGAGATGCCACAAAGTGACATCATATTCCGCACAATCAATCCATGGGTCATAGTCAGGACGGTGGGGAGGGGGAGGGAGGGGGAGTAAATTGGAGTATTTAAGAATTCGCGTTGGACCTAAAGCTGACTACACGCACAGAAAAGTATATACCCAACGAGCACTACAGCCATTTATGTACTACAGGAGAGCCTCATACTGTTTGGCAATCCCAAATTCATTTAGACATTACTATGCAAAATAACTACCGTTATGCCTGAATAATGCAAACACGCTCAATGGAATTAAAGTCAAATAAGCATGAAGAAACATTTAGTCTATCTCTTGGTCTAACTATGAAAGTATATTGATTCGAGAAGGTACCTCAACGCGTCCACTTCATTCCTGGCAGGTTCATGTACATTTATAATGATTCAAACTCAATATCTGGAACCATTGCTCCAGGCGAAAATTTATTTAAACTTTGTGTTAAGAAACAGCCTGTTTTCGGCACAGCGGAAAGTTGAACAAAAATAATCAACGCATGGTTTCAAAAAGGTATTCAGTTCCTTAACTGTCGATGCGAAAAAGGTTGTCAGTAGACGTCGATTTGAACAATTTTAAGGTCTGAAACATCAAATGATATACCTTTCTACACTGAAATCAGCAAATCGGCGTAAAATGCCTCAAGCGTGGAGCAGTAGCATCCACCTGGATTGTCAGGGTAGTGCTTGCTCTTAATATCTTAAGGAACGGTTTGTTACTACAAGTTATAGACACCCAGATTAATGATGTTCATGATGTAATTACTTTTTGCGATTTCACTCAGTCTTATTGCAAGCTGTTAATGAGAGCATCTGCTTGAATGACGAAGGGAAATACTGTGAAAACGAAAGCAAATGTTTACAACATGCCACAACCAGACATCATATTCCGCACCACCAAAAATGCGCATATTTAGCAGCTAACGTTATCAACGGGTCATAGTCAAGGCGGGGTGGTGGGGAGGAAGAGGGGGTAAATTGGCCTATAAGAGATTTCGAGTTGGACCTAAAGACTACACGCACAAAAGAGCTATATACCCCAAAAATCACTGAATAATTTTTGTACCCCAAAACTGAAAACCACCTTTTAGTTATTAATTCATACATTCATGTGCATCACGTTGGCTGTCTGAGTTTCTATAGAATTAAGTAAGAGCGAATGCGCTTTTGAAAAAACAATCGCGTAGATTACCGGCCGGAAAAAAGAATAAAAAAGTCTCATATTTTGTACAGAACCTGTGTCCCTGAACTACGTGTGCTTGCGAATCGAACAATGATTGTTGCATCCCTTGCATGTGCTTTCACGTGATTACTGTGACATCAGACAGACCTTGAACTCAACACTAGGGCCTTCGCGGCCACACACCATGCACATTAGTCGGTATAACACGAGCATCCTAAGAATGTGGACAGATTTGGGAAAAACTTCGCACCGCTGACCAATTTTTTATGGTAAGAACTGGCCTGTTTTAGGCGTTCAGATGAGCGGAGAATGGTGCGAGTGGAGAGCGGAGAGAAAATAACGAGCCGCCGGGAATCGAAAAAGAAAGCAATATGTCAATTGCACAATGGCGTCCATATTTTCACTGTCAGCGTGTTGGACCTACTCAGCTCGTTGACCCGCAGCTAATCATGTATTTCTTCTTCATATTACGCCTACATACTAATTTTTTTTGGTAACCGGAAGCTGTAGGTCGATGGCGTGACATGCTATGAAAGTTCAGCCACACATGTTTTTCACATCCGTGTTTCTACTGTCAAGGTATCTGACCTACTCAGCTCATTGACCCGCAACTAATAATGTATTTCGTCTTTATTTTTTTAAGCCTTCTTAATAATTAGACACAAACGCATCCATAAATATTTTGGTAGCCTGCAGGTCGATGACGTGTCTAGAAAAAAATAATGTTGCGACAGGAATTTTTTTGACAGCCCTTTAATATATATATACTATAAAAGTTCACCTACACCTATCGTTTCTTCGTAAAGCAGTTATTTGAGAAAACGTTTTAACATCAGTAGCAGAAGTGCAAACAAGGCACAACATGATTAGCTTTCACCTAACACCGTAGGCAGACAAGGGAAAACCTTTTAAAGAATTTCTTGAAATAAAATGAAATGGCTTTTAAAATTTTGATTTTTAACTTTTTTCAGGGCGAGTGGGAAGGGACGGGAAGGCACTACAAGTCACGTTTGCTATATGTCGCCCCATTTACAGGGAAAACCAAGACAGTCTTGGATTCTGGATTTCACGCCGTGGGTTCCGGATTCCAGATACTGGATTCCAGTCTTTGTCAGAGGAACTTGGATTCTGGATTCCAATCGTTAGTGGGATTTGGAACCTTGAGCTGTATTCCGGATTCGACTAAGGCCTAGGATTCTAGATTGTAAAAGCAAAATTTTCCCGGATTCCCTTATTTGGGGCGGTACAGTATACACATCCCACTGCCCGTAATTTAGTACAGAGAAAAGTTTTAAAATTTTCTAATACCGTATAGTTACCAGTGAGTATTGTACTGTAGTGACGGGAGTGCTCGTTACAAATTTTCGAAAACACTCCTGAAGGATACATGAATCTCGTTATGAAGCATCAATAACTGGCACGGACAATTTAAAATCGCAATGGCCTTTTCAGTTGACTAACAAATGTCCCCGTTCGTTTGCATAGCTACTTAACGTTAAATGCCCCAAAAAGGTACCACGACAACTCCAGCTGCTGTCGTGTTAAATTTTAGTAATCTTAAATTAAGGTACCACTTCACAAGTTATACCCCAAATGCTGGGTGCAACGAGCACTCCAGTCATTTAACTAGTCATTTGTTTGGTAAAGAAGGCCTCCTGGCGTTCGCTTGCTTTCCCTGTCGACTGTTTTCATAACCTTCTTTTAAAACGACCCGTTTCAAATAGCTGATATCTTTCATACTGCAGGAGAGCCTCATATTGTTTTGAAATTCATTTAGACATTATTATGCAAAACAACTACCGTTATGGCTGAATAATGCCGACACGCTCAATGGAACTCAAATAAGCTTGAAGAAACAGGAACACATCGCTTACATTCTTTAACGTTTTGGCGTTATCATTTTCTTACATTTAGTCCCTACATTTAGACGATCTATGAACGGTATCTTCATAAATTACCTCACCTCCACCGCATTCCAAGAAGGATCATGTACATTTATGATGATTCAAGCTCAATATTTTCAACCATTGCTCCAGGCTAAAATTTATTCAAACTTTGTGTTAAGAAACGGCCCGTTTCCGGCACCGCGGAAAGTTGACAAAAATACTCAACGCATGGTTTCAAAGAGGTATTATTACCGCTGCGAAAAAGGTTGTCAGTCGACGTCGTTTTGAACAAAACGCACAAGAAGCAAAAAGAAGCAAAACGCACAAGTATTTATTTTGGTAACGCCTCACTATATTTACCGGACTTCAATGTTTTCGTTTGGAGGCTGCCGTCAGGAACCTTAGCCAATTCTCAGGTATGTTTTTATAGATAAATGTCTAAAGGCGTGAACCAGTAAAGCAGTTGCTCACTCAAAGTGGCGCCAAAAAAGGCGCCGCAATGACGCGCGCATGCCTTTCAGTTTAATTTATTTCTTTGCGCCAATTGCCACATTTTACATTCCGCATAATTATGTCATTCCGCAAGCCATGCCACATGCCATTCCGCAAACTCATTCCGCCTTTTACCCTCACCGGTTGAAAATCAGAAAATTGTTTACACTAGTAGACTAAGAGACTAAGATGTAGTTTACGCGCGCTCGCATTTCGCTCGTTCTACTATCACTGAGAAAAAATGCCATTATCTCATAACTATTGCGGCAAAAAAACCAAAAGGTTGTCAAAGCGACGCCGTTTTGGACTAAGACTGCGTCAAGCACTACACCACTTGGATATTCAGTTTTTGAAGTATTCTTAGCATCTCTTAATATATTTTAACTACAAGTAGACACCCCATTTGTATACTTGCATTGACGTAAAAGATGTACTTACTGTTGAGGACACAATAAATGCGTTGAGGTTTGAAGCAGTGGTGAAACAATTTCGAAACAGTTGGAAGAACACGTCGCTTGTGTAGACTTGTGGATTTTGCTGTCTTCTCAACAAATTCGTTCTTAATGGGAAGAGTATCGATATAAAATACTTCAGGTCCAGCAAGTCTCAAAATAGTATACCTGGTGAACATTAGCTAACATTGCTACAGGCTAAACTTTGTTAAAAGTTTGTTTCCAAAAAACAGCTCATTTTCTTCGTCATCGCCTGGGCAAGGTAACTACGGACACTTAACGCATGGTTTGCCAAAAGATACCTTAGTATTCTTAAGCTATTGCTGTCAAGGTCGCAAGTCCATTTCGTTTGAACAGTTTTAGCGCGCGATGCCCCACGTCAAGTATTCCATTCCCCGGTTGTCAGTTTTATTACTGCAACTAGAAAGCCACATCATTTGTAGCTGAGTTGATGTAAATAATGTACTACTTACTGTTTACGACCAAGGCTTAGAAGGCTCGGATAGCAAATTATTGTAGCATGGTTTTCATGGTATTTACAGAGAGTTACTGCTTGAATGACTAAGGCAAACAGACCGCGTCAACGGCGGTTTCTTTCCTTTCAATATGCCCCTGCGTGACGTCTGTTTTTTTTTTTATTTTAGTGGTAATTTCAAGCCCCCAAAAATGCGCATTTGAATTGCATATTTCACGGCCCTAGTACCATTTGGTTTCGCTTGCAGCCTTCACAATTCAAAGGTCACTGCCCAGGGGTGGGAAGCTTGGTGAAGTATTTTTGTGGTTAGTTGCCTGTTACAGGCGTTCAGATGAGCGGAGAATGGCGCGAGTAGAGAGGAGAGAGAAATAACAAGCGGAATCGAAAGAGAAATCATTGAATCAATTGTACGATGACGTCCGTGTTTCTACTGTCAGGGTAGGCGACCTACTTATTAGCTCATTGAGCCACAGCTAATCATTTATTTCTTCTTTACTATTTTAAAGGGGCCGTGTCACGGTAGGCCAGTTCATTTTGTCTAATTTTGCGAATTACTCTCCCTCAATCGCTATGGAACTTAAAGTAAGCAAAGAAACTACACGTAAATGACAAAATCAGAGATCTGAGGCAAACAAATATGTCTCCTGAGCATTATTTTTGAAGTTGCAAGCAGCAGGGATCAATTTTGAAAAAGCTGTTAGGCTGAACAGTTTTCACAAATCCTAATTCAATCCGTTTCAATCCTCTTCAGTTTTGCCTATCCTTGGCATTTGTTGTTTCCGGTATGTTATTTTAACCTTCCTTTAAAGTTTTAAGCGGCTATTTTTATGTGTCTCTTAATTTAATAGGCATTTTGTAATTTCCTAATTTGGCTGAATTTCGTGACACAGATCCTTTAAAAACACTCCTGAAGGATACATGAATCTCGTTATGAAGCAACGATAAATGGCAGCGACAATCATAAATCTCGATGGCTTTTTTAGTTGACCAACAAATGGCTCAGTTCATTTGTACAGTTCCTTAACGTCAAATTCCCCAAAAAAGGTACCACGAAATGTACAACTCCAGCTGCTGTCGTTTTACATTTAAGTAATCTGAGAACAACCACTTCACAAGTTATACCCCATGCCAAATACTGCGTGCAACGATTTTGTAACGAAGGCCTCCTGGGGTTTGCTTACTTTCCTTGTCGATTTTTTCACCTTCTTTTAAAACTCCCCGTTTCAAATAGCACATATTTTATATACCACAGGAGAGCCTCATACGGTTTGCAATCCAAAATCCATTTAGACATTACTATTCAAAACAACTATTATTATGGTTAAATATTGCCGACCCGCTTAATGGAAGTCAAATAAGCTTGAAGAAACAGCAATACGTCGCTTCAATTCTTTAGCATTTGGGTGTTATCTTTTTCTTACATTTAGTCCCTTAGTCGATCTACGAACAGTACAGTTCGTAAGTTACCTAACGTCTACTGCATTCCAGGAAGGAGGATCATGTACATTTATGATGATTCAAGTTCAAAATTTTCAATCATTGCTGCAGGCTAAGATTTATTTACACTTCGCGGTAAGAAACAGCCTTTTTGGCAAAAATACTCAATGCATGGTCAGGTTACAAACAGGTATTATTCATTAGCTATCGATGCGAAAAAGGTTGCTAGTCGACGTCGTTTTGAACAATTTTAAGGTCTGAAACATCAAATGATATACCTTTCTACCCTAAAATCAGTGTAAAATGCGTCACGCGTGGAACAGCATCCACCCCGATTGTCAGTGTAGTGCTTGCTCTATAATATCTTAAGCAACTTTTTTTACTATAACTATAGGTCACCCGATTTGTATACTTGCTTTGATGTAAATGATGTACTTACTTTTTGCGATTTCACTCTGTCTTATTGCAGCCTGTTAATGAGAGCGTCTGCTTGAATGACGAAGGGAAATACTGTGAAAAAGAAAGCGGATGTTTACGACATGCCACAAAGTGACATCATATTCTGCACAATCAATCCATGGGTCATAGTCAGGACGGTGGGGAGGGGGAGGGAGGGGGAGTAAATTGGAGTATTTAAGAATTCGCGTTGGACCTAAAGCTGACTACACGCACAGAAAAGTATATACCCAACGAGCACTACAGCCATTTATGTATTACAGGAGAGCCTCATACTGTTTGGCAATCCCAAATTCATTTAGACATTACTATGCAAAATAACTACCGTTATGCCTGAATAATGCAAACACGCTCAATGGAATTAAAGTCAAATAAGCATGAAGAAACAGAAAATGACTCGTCGCTTACATTCTTTAACGTTTGGATGTCTTTCTTACATTTAGTCTATCTCTTGGTCTAACTATGAAAAGTATATTGATTCGATAAGGTACCTCAACGCGTCCACTTCATTCCTGGCAGGTTCATGTACATTTATAATGATTCAAACTCAATATCTGGAACCATTGCTCCAGGCGAAAATTTATTTAAACTTTGTGTTAAGAAACAGGCTGTTTTCGGCACAGCGGAAAGTTGAAAAAAAAAATAATCAACGAATGGTTTCAAAAAGGTATTCAGTTCCTTAACTGTCGATGCGAAAAAGGTTGTAAGTCGACTTCGATTTGAACAATTTTAAGGTCTGAAACGTCAAATGATATACCTTTCTACACTGAAATCAGCAAATCAGCTTAAAATGCCTCAAGCGTGGAGCAGTAGCATCTACCAGGATTGTCAGGGTAGTGCTTGCTCTTAATATCTTAAGGAACGGTTTGTTACTACAGTTTATAGACACCCAGATTAATGATGTTCATGATGTACTTACTTTTTGCGATTTCACTCAGTCTTACTGCAAGCTGTTAATGAGAGCGTCTGCTTGAATGACGAAGGGAAATACTGTGAAAACGAAAGCAAATGTTTACAACATACAACGAGACATGATATTCTGCACCACCAAAAATGCGCATATTTTGCAGCTAACGTTATCAACGGGTCATAGTCAGGGTGGGGGGTGGGGAGAAAGAGGGGGTAAATTGGCCTATTCGAGATTTCAAGTTGGACCTAAAGACTACACGCACAAAAGAGCTATTTACCCCAAAAATCACTGAATAATTTTTGTACCCCAAAACTGAAAACCACCTTTTAGTTATTAATTCATACATTCATGTGCATCACGTTGGCTGTCTGAGTTGCTATAGAATTAAGTAAGAGCGAATGCGCTTTTGAAAAAACAATCGCGTAGATTACCGGCCGGAAAAAAGAATAAAAAAGTCTCATATTTTGTACAGAATCTGTGTCCCTGAACTACGTGTGCTTGCGAATCGAACAATGATTGTTGCATCCCTTGCATGTGCTTTCACGTGATTACTGTGACATCAGACAGACCTTGAACTCAACACTAGGGCCTTCGCGGCCACACACCATGCACATTAGTCGGTATAACACGAGCATCCTAAGAATGTGGACAGATTTGGGAAAAACTTCGCACCGCTGACCAATTTTTTATGGTAAGAACTGGCCTGTTTTAGGCGTTCAGATGAGCGGAGAATGGTGCGAGTGGAGAGCGGAGAGAAAATAACGAGCCGCCGGGAACCGAAAAAGAAAGCAATATGTCAATTGCACAATGGCGTCCATATTTTCACTGTCAGCGTGTTGGACCTACTCAGCTCGTTGACCCGCAGCTAATCATGTATTTCTTCTTCATATTACGCCTACATACTAATTTTTTTTGGTAACCGGAAGCTGTAGGTCGATGGCGTGACATGCCATGAAAGTTCAGCCACACATGTTTTTCGCATAACAGTTTTTTGAATAATTGAGAATGGTCTAGCACCGTAAGCGGTACCACTTCACAATTTACAGTGTATACGTCAACAGGGTTTAGAAGCACAATCTTTTTTGTAAGGGGGGTCCCCCCGGGTTTTGCTGTCGACTGTTCCTAGGTGGGGTCGGATTGCAGGCCAAAATTCATTTATATATTGCTATGCAAATCAACTTCCGTCATGCCTGAATTGACGACACAATCAATGGAGAGGTTGAAAAGCTTGGCGAAACAGGATCAGGAACACGTCGTCGCTAACATTCTTTTCACCAGTTTTTGCATTTAGTGTCTTAGTCCATCTAAGAACAGTATCTCATGTTTACCGCATTCTTAGCAGGATCATGTGTGCGATTTAGGCTCAACATTTTGAACCATTGCTATATAGCATTGTATATGGGCTGAAAATCAGAAAATTGTTTACACTTTACTATCCCTGAGGAAATATGCCATTATCTCATAACTATTGCGGCAGAAAAACCAAAAGGTTGTCAAAGTGACGCCGTTTTGGACGGTTTTAAGGTTTGAAACATCAAATAGTACCTTTCTACTAAGACTGCGTCAAGCACTGCACCACTTGGATAGTCAGTTTTTGAAGTACTCTTAGCTACTCTTAATATCTTAAGGAACGGTTTTTACTACAATTAGACACCTATACTTGCATTAATGTAAATGATGTACTTACTGTTGAGGAAACAATAAATGCGTTGAGGTTTGAAGCAGTTGTGAAACAATTTCGGAACAGTTGGAAGAACACGTCGCTTGTGTAGACTTATGGATTCTGCTGTCTTGTCAAGAAATTCGTTCTAAATGAGAAGAGTATCGGTATAAAATACTTCAGGTCCAACACGGCTCAAAATATGCCATGTAAACATTGCTACAGGCTAAACTTTGTTAAAAGCTTGTTTCTAAAAAACAGCTTATTTTCTTCGTCACCGCCTGGCCTTGGCAACGTAACTACGGACACTTAACGCATGGTCGCCAAAAGATACCTTATTATTCTTAAGCTATTGCTGTCAAGGTCGCAAGTCCATTTCGTTTGAACAGTTTTACTGCGCGATGCCCCACGTCTAGTATTCCATTCCCCGATTTTCAGTTTTATTACTGCAAATAGAAAGCCACACCATTTGTAGCTGAGAGTGATGTAAATGATGTACTACTTACTGTTTACGGCGAAGGCTCGGGTAGCAAATTATTCTAGCATGGCATCTCAGGTATTCATAAAGAGTTACTCCTTGAACGACTACGGGAAAAATACCGCGTCAAAGACGGTTTCTTTCTTTTCAATATGCCTCTGCGTGATGTCTGTTTTTTATTTTAGTGTTAATATAAAGTCCCAAAAAATGCGCATTTGAATTGCATATTTCACGGCTCTAGTACCATTTGGTTTCGCTTGTAGCCTTCACAATCCCAAGGTCATTGCTCAGGGGTGGGAACCTCGGCGAAGTATTTTTTGGTTAGTTGCCTGTTCCAGGCGTCCAGATGAACGGAGAATGGCGCGAGTAGAGAGCAGAGAGAAATAACACGCAGAGTCTACTGTCAAGGTATCCGACCTACTCAGCTCATTGATCCACAGCTAATCATGTATTTCGTCTTTACTATTTTAAGCCTTCTTAATAGGTGGACACAAATGCGTCCATAAATATTTTGGTAGCCTGCAGGTCGATGACGTGTCTGGAAAAAAATACTGTTGCGACAGGAATTTTTTGACGGCACTTTAATACATATATACTATAAAAGTTCACCTACACCTATCGTTTCTTCGTATAACAGTTATTTGAGAAAACGTTTTAATATCAATAGCAGAAGTGCAAGCAAGGCACAACATGATTAGCTTTCACCTTACACCGTAGGCAGAAAAGAGAAAACCGTTTTAAGAATTTCTTGAAATAAAATGAAATGGCTTTTAAAATTTTGCTTTTTAAATCAACTTTTTTCAGGGGGAGGGGAAGGGAAGGGAAGGTGAATTACAACAAAGATCTGCCCTGCTTTCCACGACACACTGCACTACTAGTCAATATGTCGCCCCATGTATAAGGAAAACCAAGACAGTCTTGGATTCTGGATTTCACGCAGTGGATTCCGAATTCCAGATACTGGATTCCAGTCTTTGTCAGAGGAACTTGGATTCTGGATTCCAATCGTTAGTGGGATTCGGAACCTTGAGCTGTATTCCGGATTCGACTAAGGCCCAGGATTCTAGATTGTAAAAGCAAAATTTTCCCAGATTCCCTTAGTTGGGGCGGTACAGTATACCCATCACACTGCCCGTAATTTAGTGCAGAGAAAAGTTTTAAAAGTTTTTAATACCGTTTGGTTCCCGGTGAGTATTGTACTGTAGTGACGGGAGTACTCGTTACAAATTTTCGAAAACACTCCTGAAGGATACGTGAATCTCGTTATGAAGCAACAATAACTGGCAGTGACAATTTTAAATCGCGATGGCCTTTTCAGTTCACTAACAAATGGCCGCGTTAATTTGTATAGCTCATTAACTTCAAATTCCCCAAAAACGTACCACGACAACTCCAGCTGCTGTTGCGTCAAATTTTAGTAATCTTAAAGGTACGAGAAGTTATACCCCAAATGCTGCATGCAATGAGCACTCCAGTCATTAAGCTAGTCATTTGCTTGGTAAGGAAGGCCTCCTGGCGTTTGCTTTCTTTACCTGTCGACTGTTTTCATAACCTTCTTTTAAAATGCTCCCGTTTCAAATAACTGATATCTTAACACATTGCATACTGTTTTGAAATCTATTTAGACATTATTATACAAAACAACTACCGTTATGGCTGAATAATGCCGACACGCTCAGTGGAAGTCAAATAAGCTTGAAGAACTGAACTGGAAAACATCGCTTCAATTCTTTAGCATTTGGGGGCTATCTTTTTCTTACATTTAGTCCCTTAGTCGATCTATGAACAGTATCTATGTAAGTTAACTAACGTCCACTGCATTCCAGGAAGGAGGATCATGTACATTTATGATGATTCAAGTTCAATATTTTCAATCATTGCTGCAGGCGAAAATTTGTTTACACTTCGCGTTATGAAACAGCCTGTATTCGGCAGCGCGGAAAGTTGGCAAAAATACTCAACGCATGGTTACAAAAAGGTATTATTCATTAACTATCGATGCAAAAAAGGTCGACGTCGTTTTTAACAATTTTAAGGTTTGAAACATCAAACGATATACCTTTCAATCCTAAGATCGGTGTAAAATGCGTCAAGCGTGGAACAGCATCCACCCGGATTGTCAGTGTAGTGCTTACTCTTAATAATATCTTAAGGAACAGTTTTTTTACTACAAGTAGGTCACCCTATTTGTATGCTTGCCTTGATGTAAATGATGTACTTACTTTGTGCGATTTCACTCAGTCTTATTGCAAGCTGTTAATGGGAGCATCTGCTTGAATGACGAAGGGAAATACTGTGAAAACGAAAGCGCATGTTTAAACATGCCACTGACGTGACATCATATTCCAGCTTATTCCGCACCACCAAAAATGCGCATATTGTGCTGCCCGCGCAATTATCCATGGGTCGTAGTCAGGGCAAAGAAGGGTGGAGGGGGAGGTGGTTACCTGGCGTGTTTACGAATACGTGTTGGACCTAAAGAGTACACACAAAAAAAAGCTGTATACCCCCAAAAATCACTAAATAATTTTGCACCCCAAAATACCTCTCCTTAGTATTTCATACATTTATGTGTATTAACATATATCAAAGCACACGTGCAAACAAAGCATAACATAATTAGCTTTCACCTCAATTACACCGTGGGCAGACAAGAAAAAACCTAAGAATTTCTTGAACTAAAATGAAATGGCTTTCATATTTTGCTTTTGAAATCAACTTTTTCAGGGTTGAAGGGAAGGGAAGGTAAATTACAACAGGGATCTGTCCTGCTTTCCACGACACACTGCACTCAGACGCGTTTACTATAATTGTCGACCCATGCATAAGGGAATCAAAGACAGTCTTAGATGCTGGATTTCACGCCGTGCATTTTGGATTCCAGGTACTGGATTCAAATCGTTAGTTGGATTCCGAATTCCTTGAGCTGTATTCCGGATTCCACAAGCAAAAATTTATCGGATTCCCCTACTTGGGGCGATACATGCATCACACTGCCGTAATTTAGTATAGAGGAAAGTTAAATTTTTCAATACAGTTTGGTTCCCGAGAGGTATTTTTCTGTAGTGACGGGAGTGCTCGTTACAACTTTTCGAAAACACTCCTAAAGGATACATGAATCTCGTTACGAAGCAACAATAACTGGCAGTGACAATTTTAAATCGCGATGGCCTTTCAGTGGACTAATTAACAAATGGCCCCGTTCATTTGTATAGCTCCTTAACGTCAAATATCCCCAAAAAGGTACCACCGCACGACAACTCCAGCTGCTGTCGATTTAAATTTTCGTAATCTGAGAGGTAGCACGTCTCACAAGTTATACCCCAAATGATGTGTGTAACGAGCACTCCAGTCATTTTTGTAAGGAAGGCTTCCTGGGGTTTGATTACTTTCCCTGTCGACTGTTTCCACCTTCTTTTAAAACGCCACGTTTCAAATAGCAGATAATTTATATGAAACAGGAGAGCCTCATACTGTTTTGCAATCCAAAATTTAGACATAACTATGCAAAACAACTACCGTTATGGCTGAATAATGCCGACCAGCTCAATGGAAGTCAAATAAGCCTGAAGAAACAGGAACACATCGCATTTGGATGTTATCTTTTTCTTACATTTAGTCTTTTAGTCGATCTATGAACAGTACAGTTCGTAAGTTACCTAACGTCTACTGCATTCCAAGAAGGATCATGTACATTTATGATGATCCAGCCTCAATATTTTGAACCATTGCTGCAGGCTAAAATTTATTTACACTTTGTGTGTTAAAAAACAGCCTGTCTTCGGCACCGCGGAAAGTTGATAAAAAAACTCAACGCATGGTTACAAACAGGTGTTATTCTTTAACTATTGCTGCGAATAATAGGTTTCCAGTCGACGTCGTTTTGAACAATTTTAAGGTCTGAAATCAAAGATATACCTTTTCTACACTAAAACCAGTGTAAAATACGTCAGGCGTGGAAAAAATGACCATCCACCCGGATTGTCGGTGTAGTACTTGCTCTTAATATCTCAAGAAACGATTTTTTACTTCAAGGCACCCGATTTGTGTTTACACTTGCATTGATGTAAACTATGTTCTTACTTTTTGCGATTTCACTCAGTCTTATTGCAATCAGCTGTTAATGAGAGCGTCTGCTTGAATGACCAAGGGAATTAACGTGTGAAAAGCGGATGTTTAAACGTACCACGAAGTGACATCACATATTCGCACCACCAAAAATGCGCATATTCTGCAGCCCACGCTATCCATGTGTCATAGTCTTTGCGGGGGAGGGGTAAAATGGCGTATTTAAGAATTTGCGTTGGACTTAAGGACAACACGCACAAAAAGGCTATGTACCCCAAAAATCACTGAATAATTTTTGTACCCCGACCTTAACACAAAGTTAGTATTTCATACATTCATGTGCATCAAGTTGACTCTGGGTTACTTAGAATTGAATAATAGCGAATGCGTTATTAATAAAAATCGCATAGTTCACCAATGTCGACCTCCAAAATGAATCTCATCTCGTTGAAGAATGATCGAAAAGTGACCCAAAATAACCATTACTGACCAAGATTTCAGACCTCCGTCCCCCCTGTCAGGAAAATAATTATAACCCACTAACGGTCAAGGATTTTCTTTCCGCAAAAGCTTCTTCTACAGGGCGCGCGGAGGCTGGGGAGAGAGGAGAACGCGCTTGGCTAGGAACTGCGGAAAAGATCTAAAGATCTGCAAAAAGTGGTATCGGATCTGAATCAGTAAGTAGGTTGAAATATCGTACAATGAAAGACAAAGACTGATCCCAACGACAAAGCGATGGAAGCCAATTAAACAAAAAGGAAAATTAATATAGTCAAATTGCCGTTGTTATTACAAACGCCGCCCTCGAACTAGGGACAGCTGGGCGGAGCAATCGAGAGCCAGTATTAGGAGGAACAGAGTTTCTTTGTATTATGGCAGTAAGATGTATTTTTATTTACAACAATTTCAATTTCAATTTCCGGTGCAAGCGGACAATTTCAAATTCATCCAAGAAAATCATGATGACCAAGAACGGATGAAATTATATTCCTTTACGTTTCTTACTTTTGGTTTAAAGATCCTACCTGGTGTCTCCGTTATAACGAGAAATGGAACAATAAAATTGTGCTGTCGGGATCGAAAAAGAGTCTGTAAGTCCGTAAAAAGTGAAACGTCCCCAATGGCGGGAATTTAGCTGCTATCTGTGTTTAGTGTCTGCGTGTCCGTAATAGCAAAGTGTCCGCAAAACGACCTTAAGTTTTTTTTTTATATGGAATAAATCATTTTATTTAAAATTACCTCTACACTTCGGCAAAGCTCCTTTATATTAATCACAACAAATAAACTACAATTTTGTTGTTGTTCAGTAACTCTGAATTAAGTGAGAACGCTACAAACACCTAAAGCGGGAAACTGGCGCAAAAAATTTCTACGGCTTTTGATTGGATGAGCGATTGACAAAAAAAAATTCGTCGTTCACGGTTCCCATTGGCCGAACTATTTTTCTCACATGAGAAAAAGTCATTGTTTGTACCCCTGATTTTTTAGCTCTGCATAAGCATTTACCGTATTCCCGTTTCAGTTTTCATACAGGCGTGTCAAAGTGTTTATTCACCTTTAATAAACCATGTTCCCATCAAGAAGCTGCATTAGCACAACCCACAATTCCTTCATTAGCTCTCATGGAAGGTTATCACTCGAAACATCAGGTTATGAATCTTTGTACGATGGCAAATTTACTGAATCAAAAACTCAGCTGACGATATTTACGTTTCAGGGAGCAACACCACACTTTCTTTTAAAAGTAACCACTTTATCGACACTTAATGCAAATTTTTATGAACAGCTGCTTCTTCTACATGCCTTCAATATTCACAGCTGTTATATCTATAGCATAATCAGATAATGCAGATATGCTGGTAATGTGGTAAAAGAATACAAGTTATAGGCAAAGGAGTTGTGCAAGCACAAAGATCTCAACTTTATGAGCAAGAATTAAATTTACGCAAATGTACAACCTTCTGACGAAAAGACACTACAGACGGAGCTAGATCGAGCTAACTTAAATAGCTGTTAAATACTACCTGCCTAGGGTGCATGCAAAATTAGTCCATTTCTCGAAAGCCCGATACTCAACGGGCCCACATAGCTGTTGTTGTTTAAAGTTTATTGTCGAATTTTTACTAACTTTGCAGATATGATATGGCTACCATTACCAAAATAAAATGGACCGGTTTGTTAGCTACGACCCGCGCTTTCATTCCCTAGATTTCGATATTTAATATTTTAAAGTTACCGGGATTTTCGAGAAACGGGCCAGCTTCTCTAATCACAGGAAGCCCACACAACCTGTATGTGTAACCGTTTGTAATTATCTCCATGCTATGAACATGTTATGAGCATTCTGCCTATAATGTTAGGTTGGTATCGATTGTTTGGACGCCCGAGACGATACAGAGGAATATCAAATGAAGAATTATCCTTGCAGTTGTGAAGGCAATCTATGCAACTCCGTAAGAAGCCTGAGAAAAAAATCAGGATTTCAACGGGAGATATGGAAACGAGCTAAACACTTCAGTTCTACTCAAGGGTTTCGGTCGCTCAATGGTAAGGATAGTTCCCTATGGTGTCAGAGGTGTTCCAGAAATCGTCTTGATCGCCTGAACACATTTTAAAATATTTTAAGAGGTCACTCGGGCGATAGACTGATCACGATAAGTTTATTTGTAATATAAACCAAATGTTTCTATACATGAAAAGTGCCTCAAATGGGTTTGTTTGGTTAATTTGGAGCTGTCCTAAAACATGTAAGGCCAAGCAAAAAAAAAAACAAAATGTTTCTCGTGCTGATTTCTATAAAAAAGAAAGCGGGCGGACGCTTTTTTTTTTTTGTCATTTGTCATTTCCAATTGAATGCTTTCTCTACAAATTACCACCCTCCCCCAGCTAGGGATAAGATGAAGTTCTTACGTCAAATAATAATAAAACGAATGTCAGATATTGATTTAACGCAGGTTTGTACATTTAAACAAAAACCTGATGCATCACACGATATATCGCAATAGGAAGGGTGCATTAAAAACGTCAATTGGGCTATGATTTAGCCTGCCTGAAAGCTCTCGTGATTTTCTTCTTTGTCTCGTATCTCCTTTCGTGCCATACACTGCAGAACGGGTAGCAGTCCTTTCGCCTGTTGGTTTTTTTTCGTACAAACGTTACTAATAACAAATAATAAAAAAGAGAGGCGGCTTCCAAAAAGTGAAGCGGGCGGGGACGAGAAACGTTTTTTTTACTTGGCCTACAGACCATTCACATGCTCGGTTGTCTGAGGGAAACTTTAGTCGTTCTATAGAAGTTCAGGGAAAGAAAAAGAAGTCGTTGTCTTGTGCTCGCGTCCTCCACAAAACGTGAAATTACTTTCACGTTGTAGTCGTGCAGTGACGGCAAAGAAATGTACAAAAAATCGTGATGCACGTGCAAAGTTTTGTTTTGCCAATCAAAACCTATTGATTTTTTGCCGTTCTTATTGACGTCGCCTTCTTCGTTGCTTAATCTCCCTAATGAGTGTCGCAAAACGCCGGCGAAGATAAGTGTCGATCCTCATCGTGTCAAAAAATGGCTGCTTTGCTAAAGTTTTAGTACACTCTTCTAAACATCTAAGTAAGGAAAAACTACAAGTACCTAAAGATGTTTCATTTTGAGGGATTGGTATCCCCCCCGATCCTTTTGTCACTGTGCGCGAAGCCGATATCGCCCTGCGGCAGACAAAAGTCAAGACAGCGCCAGGACCAGATGGCATACATAATATAGTATTCAAGGAGTTCGCATTTGAACTCGCGCAGCTGATTTAAGGTGGCTCGACTGGATTTTTTGGGGTTGATACCTCCCAACTTTGAGCATTAACTACGTCGGCATGAGTAAAGATATGGAAAAAAGGTTACCACAACTGTATTATATACAGATGAAAATTTCTTATGATCTGGGTTTTATTGCAATCGGAGTCGCCATGGCAACGTAATGACGCCATTACATTTTTCATTTATCTTTGTGTTTCTCTGTTCCAGGAGTTTTTTGAAGAAATCGCTTAAGGGAGTATGTACCTGCTATAATTGTCTTCATTATGGCATAGTTTGAACAAATTCTATGAGAGCGTTTTTGAAATATTTTGAAATGTAGTTTTAAGAATAATAAAAACAGTGAAATAGCATGCTAGCCACACAATTCGCTAATATTTTAAGAAAATGATAAGCTTTGGGAACGAGGCTAGATCTCATAGTGATTTGATTCCATTGAAAACTGCATACAAAAAAAGAAGGGAATCGCTCTGGGCGATCGCGAGTAAGAAGAATTTTATTAACTTGCATTCAGCTGCTTTTGATACAGTTTTTGGACGTAATTTGGTCCATGGCTAAAAATTTCGCATTTTTCCAAAAACCGCTCGATAAATTTTTCTATAAATTCGACAATCCCGAGACTAATTGTCAAGAAATCTTCGGCACCGCGGAAAGTTGACAAAAAAACTCAACACATGGTTACAAACAGGTGTTATTCTTTAACTATTGCTGCGAGTAATAGGTTTCCAGTCGACGTCGTTTTGAACAATTTTAAGGTCTGAAATCAAAGATATACCTTTTCTACACTAAAACCAGTGTAAAATACGTCAGGCGTGGAAAAAATGACCATCCACCCGGATTGTCGGTGTAGTACTTGCTCTTAATATCTCAAGAAACGATTTTTTACTTCAAGGCACCCGATTTGTGTTTACACTTGCATTGATGTAAACTATGTTCTTACTTTTTGCGATTTCACTCAGTCTTATTGCAATCAGCTGTTAATGAGAGCTTCTGCTTGAATGACCAAGGGAATTAACGTGTGAAAAGCGGATGTTTAAACGTACCACGAAGTGACATCACATATTCGCACCACCAAAAATGCGCATATTCCGCAGCCCACGCTATCCATGTGTCATAGTCTTTGCGGGGGAGGGGTAAAATGGCGTATTTAAGAATTTGCGTTGGACTTAAGGACAACACGCACAAAAAGGCTATGTACCCCAAAAATCACTGAATAATTTTTGTACCCCGACCTTAACACAAAGTTAGTATTTCATACATTCATGTGCATCAAGTTGA